CCGTCCCCATGACGTGTTCGCGAAGGGTGCGTGGTAAGCAACTGGACTCGCTGAGTGGATCTGGGTATGATGTGTGGGTTTGGATGGCTGCATGATCCGGTGAGGCGATGAACATGCTCGGGGTAGGGTTACGTTGCAGGGCAATGCGGATCCCGGGTTGTCTCTATGGTTCCCGCGAAATCGATTACTGCAATTGTAGAAAATATGGTGAAGGGGTTTTGGGGTGCGAAGAAGGGGTGGATTGCGAATTTGGGTCATGGTATGTAGCCTTATTTTCTTATTGATTGGCTAGTTGGAAAAGGAAACCAAAAATGTTTAGATGCTAAGACCTAGGAATTACAGGAATTACTCCTCTTGTTGATCCGGAAGACTTGAGATTCTATTTTCAAGAAATCCACCGGCTGACGGCCGTATCATGAGATGAAGAGGGGCCAATTGAGGGGTTACAAAACCCTTAGGATGAGGAAAAAGGAGGGATAGTTTGGAGTTCATTTGCGGTCGTGATATGTATAGAAGTTTGAGCTGGAATAAACCATATATAGTATGCGTTGACTTATGTGCAAAATAATCCCATCCAAAGCTCACTGCATACGTCCAAATCCAACTCTCTCGCCGTTTTCTCCCCTTTCTTCCATCCAGTCCAACGTTATGACCATTGACCTCACACGCCAATATCCTCATGCCTAGCAAAAACCATCAACGCAACCATGAATTAAAAATTAAACCATGGCGCGCCACTCACCATATCTCAGATGTCTCTTTGAATAAACTTCTGCATCAACTTCCACCCCCCTATTAATCAGGCATTGCTCGCCGCCCGTAAACGTGGTGTTCTCACCCACCACGACGCGCTTCAACTTGTACAACACGCAGGCACCCCACGCACATATCGTAGGGGGGATAGTGTGGTGTACATACATTATTGCGCCAGCATAGACGGGGGCAAGCAGCCGGCCGGGGTTTTCAAGCGCGGAGATCTCTTCCTGTCAGGTTGGATAGTTTAGTCATTGGGTTTCCTACCGCCATGATTTTAAACAAGGGGCGCTGGTGGGTGTTTGCTCTCGCATGTATGTGGGAAATAACAGAAAGAGAAGTAAACAACAAGCGGACACGGACACGGAGACTGACATGTTAGGGTAGGGCTCCCTCACGCGCATGTCGGCCCAGGATCTTGTCGTCCCTGGAGACCGGACAGGCGCTGACGGGTATGCCGCCTCTGCAGCGCCCTTCTCTGCCTCTTCCAGAGCTGCCAATGAAACCGGGATCTTGCTCAGGCATGATTTTTGTCAACCTCCTTGCTTCGCGTGTTGCGTTTTTAAGGATAATTTATATGGGGGCTTGGATGTCTAGGGTATGTTGTTTGAAGATAGTTACAGCTGTCTAATACCGGCAGCGTGGATAAGCTGAGAATTATACAATCAATTTAATAAATTTTATACTTTACGGAGGTTCATCTCAAAAGTTCTTACCCGCCAAGGCACCCGCCAAGGCACTATATAATGCCACCAACTTGAATTTCCCCCAAGTCTGCTTCATCACACTCCGGAGTAGAGATGATATTTTCATTTCTCATTAAATTACTTGTCAAGATGACTTCTAATACTGATATATATGCTCTGATCAAGTAATTCTTCAGACCTTAATTCTATAGAATCTTGCTGACTCTGAATGAAGCACAAAATTGCACAAGAGATGTATTGTGTTATATTGCAGCAGACAGTTGCAGTGTACTATATATAGATGATGAGATGAATAATCACACCTGCTGTGGGCTGAGTCACATCACTGTACTCACAGATATAGATATCACTATAAGTGCAATCATTTAAAAAATGATTATGTTGATATTTTGCTTTGAATAATCTGATGATCATGGATTCATGATGCTTGCTTATAGATTATCACAGCATCAAAGAGTCAGACAGAAGAAATTAAGATATGAAAGCAGTATTGAAAAAATCTTTCACAGAAGATGATACAAGCATGAATAGAGTGGATTTATACTCATATTCAAAAGATTATAGAGCTAGAAGATGAAAATGAATATAAAGAAGTATAATTGTATTATTTTGTATATAGATTGTATGATAGAGAACACTTACTATATTCAAATTAGACTTTTGTGGCGTTTTTAGTATGAGAAAGAACTTTTGAGATGGTCCTCCGTACATATGACTATATCGGAGCTGGGCTGGAGCTACCAACTTTTTGCGCTAGCTCTTCTTATCGATAAGGGCTGGTTAGTGGTGGATGACCTACATACGCTGTAGTATATACTCAGTATTCGCATATCCCGCTGGTTATTTCTGTGCATTACTGTACCAAGGCTGCCTGATTATCGATATCTATAGGAATCCTGGTCAAATTGGAAGCTGCGAACATATATATAAATAACCATCCATCCCTCGAAGAGAACTTGACATGCGAATGCACAGTAAGAGTAAGTGGGGATTCGATGCCCGGGTGGTGATAAGCGGCATCTGTGCTTGTGCGGATTATGAGGCGGAAATTGTCTTGCCAATCAATCTATTATTAGGCATGGCTCCAACCTTCTTTCTTTGTTTCGCTGGCCTCTCCCTGCTGTTGATGGGCGATAGAAGGCCACCGAAACGCGTACAAGAGCGACGAAAGGGCGATGAAAAGGCGACAGGAGGGCGATGGAAGCGATTAGAAACACCTGGAAAGCTCAAGAATCAGCCGCAGCAGCGCTAAAGTGCCGTGTGGAACTACGCCTTTCCCAATGCGGCAAGTCTCGGGTTGTGCCCAGGCAGGTTTGATTCGGGACCGATGAAATGTTTGGTATTTCGAGGTACTGTGAAATTGCGGCCATATTTTGCCTGCATAAAGCACCCAGCTGTGTACATTAAAAATAAATGAGGAGCGCAACTTGGCACGGTATCAACACCATTGATTCATCTCACCAGTTGGGTTATATTCATCAGTTTAGCCCAGGAAAAGGTTGATATCTGTGCTGTTTTGAATCGATTGATGTTTTCGAGATACCTGCTGTAATATTTCGGTATTACCGTTGAACCAGTACCGCAAATCTCCTGTTACGAGCCTGATACCCCGAAGTAAGGCTTTTTTCTTACCAACCAGCATTATCACCTGATTATTTATTTTATCTTGTCCAGTGTTTTGGTCTTGCTCCTCTCTTCCTCCCTCTGGGTATCAACCGCCGCAAAATCTTCAAAACCCCTTCATGCCATTGTCTCTCCCTCTCTCCTCTCTTCTCTGCCACTTCGCCGTCCGCGGGTCAAATAATACCTTCTGTTGAGATACCCGTTCTGTTCTAAAATCTATTCATCACACCAAAATAGTTAGTCGAATCCTCGTCTCCTCACACCACCACAACCGCCACCTTACTCTTCAAAGCTTCTACTTCCTGTTTACTTTCATTCAAGTCATACAGGATTTCGCTGCAAGGAAAGAACGAAGTGGATAGCGAACGGCTTGTTTTTGATATCTGGCCGCACCTCTCTCCTTTCGTCTTCCTATCCCTCGGCTTTCCTTGGTCGATTTCATAAGCATATTTTAGAACTTGCGCCAACATGGTGAAGGAAACCAAGTTCTATGATATTCTAGGGGTATGTGGAGCCTCTGCTGTTTTCCTCCAAGGGGAATTTGCAACCCGCATCTTCTATCCAAAATATATAAATAAAAACAAAAGGTCTAATGAATATTAGGTCTCCCCCAACGCCACTGATGCGGAACTAAAAACCGCTTATAAGAAGGGTGCTTTGAAACATCATCCTGGTATGTTAACAGTTGTACTATCACATGATGCCCCCCCTTGTTCTAGCTATCTTCTTGCGCCTATTTCTGATGTGTTCTCACTCCTATAGACAAGAACGCCCATAATCCCGAGGCCGCAGAGAAGTTCAAAGCCCTCTCTCACGCCTATGAAGTTCTCTCCGATTCCCAGAAACGGCAGATTTATGACCAATATGGCGAAGAAGGCTTGGAGCAAGGCGGTGCCGGAGGGGGAATGCAGGCGGAAGACCTCTTCGCCCAGTTCTTTGGTGGAAGCGCCTTTGGTGGCATGTTTGGTGGTGGGATGAGAGACACAGGCCCGAAGAAGGCGCGCACCATTGTCCACCCTCTGAAAGTCTCACTGGAGGATATCTACCGGGGCAAGGTCTCGAAATTGGCTCTGAAGAAATCTGTGATTTGCCCAGGATGTGATGGAATTGGTGGTAAGCCAGGATCCGTCAAGCAGTGTGTTTCTTGCGGTGGCACGGGTAAAAGGACCATGATGCGCCAGATGGGGCCTATGATTCAACGTTTTGTCGTGGAGTGTTCGGACTGCGATAGGACAGGACAGGTCATCAACGAACGTGATCGCTGCAAGAAATGCAAGGGCAACAAAGTCATTGTTGAGAGAAAAGTATTGCACGTGCATGTAGACCGGGGTGTTAAGCCGGGGCACAAGATTGATTTCCGAGGGGAGGGCGACCAGGCGCCAGGTGTTATAACGGGTGATGTTCAGTTCGAAATAGATCAGCAACCACATCCAAGATTCCAGCGGAAGGATGACGACCTCTTCTACCAGGCTGAAATCGACCTCCTAACCGCTCTTGCTGGCGGTACAATCAATGTCGAGCATCTGGACGACCGATGGTTAACAGTACAAATTGCACCTGGCGAACCAATCACGCCTGGTAAGTTCCCGCCGCACATCCTTGATAGCCAACCTTTTACCCAAATTCCCAAGCCCTACATCCCTGTCCATTTCCGGCATATGTCTTCAAAGCAAAGCTAACATTCTTACCCTTGCTTTCTACAGGACAAATCAAGGTTATCAAGGGCCAGGGAATGCCCTCTTTCCGCCACCACGATTTCGGCAACCTCTATATTCAATTCAATGTCAAGTTCCCCGATGCGAAAGAGATTCGTGATGTTGAACTTCTGGAACAGGTGCTGCCACCTCGTCTCCCACAACCACAGCCTCCTGCCGACTCCATGGTAGAAGATTTCCACCTCGAGGATATTGAGGATAGTGGCCAGGCGAGAGCACAGGGAGCCGCACACATGGGTGATGAGGAAGATGATGAAATGCCACCCGGCGCTGAGCGGATGCAGTGCGCGTCCCAGTAAATTTTTTCTTGCCAACTTCTCTTTTGCGGTTTTGTGGGGAATTTACACTTTGTTATGAAAGGGTACCAGGAATGCCAAAAGAAAAAGAAAAAGGTGGAATATTGGGGTTTGGAGGAGAAGAAACACATACATTCTTCTTTCCTTTTTAGTAACCCTTTTTTTCGTGATGCTGATTCGATATTCTTGATCATCCGCCTCCTGCCCGCGTCCAAGAGGAGAGCTTCCTTTTTCCATTATCCGTTTTTCTTATAATGCTTGTTTCCACTCTAAGAGCTGGCTAGGGTCGTTTAATCCTTTGTTTCTCGTCTTTTTTCCCCTACTTATTCATAACTTTTGTTCTTCTTCTGTCCCTTTCACTTTCTGACTTCCCTCATATCTGGTTTTGCTCAATTTTCGCGCCCTTTTATTTTTTTCTGTTTCTAACTTTTTATGTTTCCTTTCCTGTTTCTATCATATCGCACCACACGTGGGGAAAGGGGGGGAAGTGTTTTCTTTTTGCACGTTTCTTTCAGATCTGGTTAACGATGGATGCCAATGAAATGGACGTATTAGACGGTTTTTTTAAGGTATTTCTTTCCTTTAATGTCTATCTACTTATTTTCAACATCCTTCTCATTTTTCTTCCTCCCCCCTTTAAAACAGAGTCTTTCTCCTTCCAGTTTAATTTCCTAAACATAGCTGCAGCTGCAACTGCAACTGCAACCGCCGTAGCAATAACAAAAGCCTCAAGGCCTCAAGCGCAATGCCTCCACCCCTTTCTCCTCTTCTCGTCCTTTCTCTCCAAAAAACGCCTCGTTAACCAGAGCGTTCTTTCATCCAGGGGGGGGGGGGGGGTCGCTGCAGACATTATCCATAAACCCTTTTTTTCTCTTCTTCAGCTTATTATTATTATTATTATTATTATAAAATAAAGCGGTTTAGAAACTAAAGGGGCCAAGTGTCGGTCCGATCTTCCGCTAATCCATCGATCGATCCATCCATCCATTCGGTTCTAGCCTCCTCGTTCATTTTCATATATAGTTCCTGATACTCTCCCCGAATCTCAGCTCTCTCCATCGTTCTTATCTGCGACTCTGAACTGGGTGGGAGGTATGGACGATGGCGTACAAGGGCACGGTGCATGGTTGCATGGTTGCATTGTAGCATTGTAGCATTGTTTATCGCACCATGTCCCCAGGAAAACTTTTATAGGACTATATGGATATATATCCAACTAGCATGGGGGGCTGTATTAAGGGTAAGCAGAGCTCTAGGCTAAATATCTCTGGCGCTGGGATGGTAATGAAGATGGATGGATGGGACCCTGATCGCCTCAGGGTGACGGCGTATATCTCACAGACACCAAGCACCACCACCACCACTGCCCGGGCCTTCCAACCCCGCCCTCCACACAGAGGTTGCAAAATAGAAACAAGGGAAAGGAAACAAGCCCCGCATCCGCCTTTCTCCGCGGCCAGGATCAGAGTCCGGCAGGAGCAAAAGAAGGGTTCTAGAAGAGGGATTGATCTTAGTGTTCAAGCTGTTGTGTAATGATGGCTAATGTATGTATGTAGCCCTCTTTGCTATTTGCTGTGTATGGAGAGCAGAGTAGGGTACTGGGCTGGGCTGGGCTGGACTGGAACATGCGATCTGCAGTCGCTTGTTTTGCCCTTCCTATGCTCCTTCGATGCTTTCTGCTTCTGCTTCTGCTTCTGCTTCCTCCTCACTCTATTTTCCTCCCTTGTTATATTCTTCCCCAGGGCATGGGTATATCTACATGCAGCACGTATTGTATGCATGGACGTGTATGGATGGTAAAAAGAAAAAAACATTGTCATATAGATGCATTCTTCAAGCCCCGGGCTTCTGATCGAGGGTGTCATCGGATAATAGCAGTGGAGTGACTCAGGGTGCAATGCACCTTTGCATGGAGTGATGGTTGGGGGAGACGAGCTGTCGGCGCTGTAGGTTTTCTTTTTCATCCAATGCATGAGGGCAAGTGAGCTTTTTTGTGCGAGGGAGAGTTAATTTCATGTTTAGGCTCGGGGTTTGTATACATACGTTGTAGTAAATACAGAGGTGAAGTGGGGGAGGGAGGAGGGAAATAATCACAGCTGGGAGCACGAGCTTGTTTGTCTGACAGGTGCGTGGTTCAAAATGATTGATTGGGAATATATAGTCCACACACACACACAGAGAGAGAGAGAGGCCATGCTACGACAGATGGTCTAATCCCTTTTAAGTAAAATATATTTTCTCAGGGCAGAAGGAAGTATGACAGATGACAGTGAGAGGCTAGAGCCTCTATGTATGTTAGTGCGGGTGCAATAGCCAGGGGATATCTCTCCCTCTAACCGGCTAGGTAGGGGGATCGCTCATGGTTTCTTTGACAATATTGCTTTCTGTCTAACGAATGCTTTTGATATTTGTTGCACTGCCGTGGGTAGGCAGAGGACCAAATTTGTCTCTTTGTCTCTTCTATAATTTTTCACAATGGAACTGTTGCATTTATCTCTCTTTTTGAATTCAGGCCATTTTATTTCTGTGCAGCGATTGTGCGGTATGGGTGGACCAAGTGCTATAGAGTTTGATTCCTCTGGCGCTTTGCTGTCCAACTTGCTCCACTTCCACAGCAATGGCGATGGGGAGATATGTGCTAAATGCTGAGTCTGGGGAGGGCATCATTCTCGAACAACAGTAGTGGACAGGGACTCAGGGGATATACGCAGTAGGATACTAAGGATTTATCCAATGGGACATTTTGGCTCTGAGACTGTTTCTTATGGAATCTAAAGCGTTGACTCTGGGTAGAAGATGATGTTGTAACGGTGGCTCCGCGATGCGGAAAACTGAAAATTCCTGATTCCATGATTCCGTACAACGCAAAATGCAAAGAGAGCAGTGCGCAGCCAAGATATACAAGAACTTCCATGCTCACTCCATGTCGCACGGGGTCGAGGATTGAGACGGGGACCTTGAATCGATATGCCCGTTCAGGTCGCCTAGTCAACATCAAATAGATGTCGGCTATGTTGTTGAGTTTAGCAGTGAAGTTAATATCTGGAAACTGCCCCCAATTCGCTCAAAACATAGAAGACTGATGAGGCAATGTGAGGCATTTCTGTGGGATAGCGGTTGGTACATGAGAAATGTATCCGTCATTTGAATACGACGAAAAAAGAAAATAATTAGAAAAACTGTGGGATAAAGCTTAACACATCGCCCCACAGTAAGAGTAGATGGAGATAATGCAATACGGTTGGGTCATTGTATATCATATCAAGCTCCAAGAGGAAGTACAAAGCGAGCACAAACGTCCAGAGATAACTAGCAAAAGGTGGGATTGCTTCGGGACTCCAAGACGGCAATGAAATGGCGCCATATCGGTATCGCTTATGCCTCTGTTTTCGTGATCGTCAGAAGAATGACATCTTCGCTTTGTCAATCATAGCTGTTTCCAGGGCAAGGTCGCCAAGGCGGGTGCATGCAAGAAGAGCCGTTCCCAGCACACATTCTTCAAGCACAACAATGGTCCTGGATTGGCTGCGGGAAAGGGACCCGAAATTTGCGAGGGGCCCTTCCCTGCGCCATGTGCTCCTGAATGCCGTTTCGCAATTCCTTATTTTTTATCTTTCTTGCTAGTTGATAGCAAAGCTTAGTAGGAAGAGAACGAGGGTGACCACAGAGACGGGAGAAAGAGACGATCCATTCTGAATAATGGTGGGAAATCTTCCCACATGCAATAGTTATCTACGGCAATGCCATTCTGCTGGTTCGGAATCCAATCGCCAAGTGTCGTAGGTTGACATACAGCTGGATATTGCCTTAGTACTGTACTTGGCTGCCTCGTGCTCGCCGAGCAAATCGATATCTAGGGGCCGCCGTACTCCAGCACTCCTGTGCACAACGCGGAAACCCCTGAAATGGTGATAATTATCGTTGTTCTTGATAATTCCTTCGAGTAAAGCAGCCGTTGTCCTCCTCATCCGAGGTTGATATGACGTCTTGCCATGGGCCTGTGATTGGCCGTGGGTCCTGTTACCGCTAGTCCCAGCGCAGAATGCTAAGCGAACATTCCACCTCCCTGCGCGGCTTTTTGGGGGCTCTTGGGGTCCTTGCGTCGGCAAGGTCATTTTGATCCCGGGCTCACGGTCAAAAATATCCTCATGCTGCGTGCTGTGAGTCTGCCAAGGTACAATACGAACTCTCCCGTCTGAAATGGAAAAACCCGATCAGCGCAAGCTGCGTGGGTTGCTAGCTAGCCACACGGACGCAGTTTGGGGCGCCAATCCTTGTCCCCTCACACAGCTTCAGAGTTTTGATAGCACAAATGATATCATCATCCAAGGCCCGCCAGATCCAGCAAACACTATTATCCCGGCTTGTGCTCTGTTACGCCTTTTTGTTCTCCTTTTTGTTGTAGGCTCTCGGTATTTGCCACATAGCCTGCGAGGTATGAATGACGAGATAGGATATGAAGATTACTCGCCTTCTACTGGACTGCCGCGTTCTCATAAGTCTTTCACCATGGTTAGATTCCGCGGTCATCCCGATGCTTTGATTCTGGCGTGCCGCCGGTGGCTTTTTACAGGCTGCGGAAACCGCGACAAGATTAATAGTAGGATAGCTTTAACCCGCGTCAGTGTTTGTGATACATCATACAGGTTGAACAGCTGAGATTCCTCCAGCCACGCTGCAATCCTTCTTTGAGTAGGCCCAATTACCCCCCACGTGGATGTTCCATATGTTCAACAAGCATTATCATCGGCATTTTAGCTTAGCCAATGAGAAGGTTATGAAGATGCAATGCATGCTGTTGAGACCTTAACTTGACCTTGCCCGCGCGGGGAAGCACCTGTGTTGCGCGACATCCATATGTGTATATGGCTCGGGTCCATTGCAATCCCACCATCCCGTTCCCACCTCTGTGCCCACTTATCATCACTGGGAGCTCAAAGACCCAGTCTTTTGGAGTTCCTCGCAAAGTTTGAACTTTATCGTGTCTACTAAAGAAAAGAAAAAATAGCAGAGTTGGCCCCTGGTAACTTTCAGGTGCTTGGAAGGTGCAGGCCTCTCCACTTGCTGACGATTGCGTGATGCTGCTCTAGCCTGACGAGTCTGCTTTGTCAACTGCAACCATCTCATCAACTCAAGAAAAGCAGAAAATTAAATAAAACCATAACTCCCAAGTTTTCTTCACTCTTGACACATGCTTCTTTGCTGCATCTCCATTCTCCCCCTGTTACTGGTTTTGAGAGGATCATTTTTTATCAATTCCGTTTGCTGGCTCGCACCAGGCGTATCCCTCGCTTTCAAGCGAACTCTGAGCATCTTGAATCTTTCATTCATTGGGCGAAAATGGGCTACTAATTGATTCTGATATCGTGGGATTGTGAGCCATTACTCCTCCGAAAGAAGCTTTTCCGGCTTTGATTTCAGCTATACGCTGTTCACCTACACCGGTTTTATATAGATCTCTCCTGCCTCCCATCCTTTTTTTTTCACAATTATCACTCCGTCCGTTATCTTTACCTCTTGACTCAAGCCTATGCATATATATACGCATACACACCCTTAATTCGAACCGACCACTTTTTGGCCATTTACCCGCCTGTCACCCCAACCCCGGGAGTCGAATTTACATTCTTTTCCCCCTTATCTTGCCCTCAAGGACGGCGCCATGACTAATTCAAAGGGAGGGACGTCGACTAAAGTCGGAAATACCCTTGCCAAATTGGCGGGCATAAAAAAAAACTATCGGGACCCCATCGGAGCGGACACCGTCACCCGCGGAGAATCAACCTTTTCCGTTGGAACATCGGATACCTATGCCTATGTCGAACAAGAGCCATCATCGGCAGACTGGCTGCGCGAATTGGTCCCTACTGGCCAGAAGGTCGTACAATACTTTGCCAACCTTTTTCCCTTCTTGCGCTGGATTACTCGATATAACCTTCAATGGTTAATTGGTGACCTTGTAGCTGGCAAGTTCTGTTCTAATACCACGACACAAAAAAAGGCAGTTGTCCGTGATTCTAACCCTTCTTCTAGGTATCACTGTGGGCGCGGTTGTGGTGCCGCAGAGCATGGCATACGCAAAATTGGCTGAGCTAGAACCTCAGTTTGGGCTTTATTCGTCGTTTATGGGCGTACTAATCTATTGGTTTTTCGCAACCTCCAAGGATATCACCATCGGAGTGAGTGTCCAGTAATGCTCTTTTCCTGTTGCTCTGGAAGCTTACTTTTATTCTCTACTTTCATTTTAGCCTGTTGCAGTAATGTCGACGTTAGTTGGCCAGGTCGTCATCAAGGTCCAGGCAAATAATCCAGAAATCCCAGCGCATTATGTTGCAAGTGCACTTGCAATTATCTGCGGTGGGATCATCACCTTTATCGGCCTTATTCGATGCGGCTGGATCGTCGATTTCATCCCTCTGACTGCAATCACTGCTTTCATGACAGGTTCGGCCATTAGCATTGCCGCGGGCCAGGTTCCTTCTATGATGGGTATTCGTGGTTTCGACACACGTGATGCAACTTTCAGGGTTATCATCAACACCCTCAAACATCTACCAGACACAAAAATTGATGCCGCAATGGGTCTGACTGCACTGTTCCTCCTCTATCTCATCCGCTGGGCTTGTAATTTCAGCGCCAGAAAAAACCCGAACAAGCAAAAGCTGTTTTTCTTCCTGGCCACGTTACGGACCGCATTTGTCATTCTTCTATATGTCATGATCAGCTGGCTAGTCAATAAAAACCATCGCGAGAAGCCAATTTTCAGGATATTGGGCACAGTACCTAGGGGTGTGTAGTACCCCTTCACTCTCAACCATGGCGCTTTTCTATCCCTGAACATCACCAAAGGAAATACGCTAACACAGGGAATAGGGTTCAAAAACGCGGCTGTTCCGACAGTCAACACCAAAATCATAAAAAGCTTTGCAAGCGACATCCCCGCGGCCGTCATAGTTCTCTTAATTGAGCATATTGCCATTTCAAAGTCATTCGGGCGAATCAATAATTACACCATCGACCCGTCCCAAGAATTAGTTGCTATCGGCGTGACCAATCTTCTTGGACCCTTCCTTGGAGGGTATCCTGCTACAGGGTCGTTCTCAAGAACCGCTATCAAATCAAAAGCTGGTGTTCGCACACCATTTGCTGGTGTCATTACTGCTGTTGTGGTTTTGCTTGCCATATACGCCCTTCCTGCGGTTTTCTTCTACATACCAAATTCTTCGTTGTCTGCTGTCATTATCCATGCCGTCGGAGATCTTATCACACCACCAAACACCATCTATCAGTTTTGGAGAGTCTCGCCTCTCGAAGTTGTGATTTTCTTTGCCGGCGTCTTTGTTACAATTTTTTCTTCAATTGAAAACGGCATCTACTGTACCGTTTGCGTATCAGTCGGTATTCTTCTTTTCCGAGTTGTTAAAGCTCAGGGGCAGTTCCTTGGACGAGTCAAAATCCATTCTGTAATTGGAGACCATGTTCAAGGAAACGATGGAAAACACGGTGGCGCCTTCGAAGCAAATAGCTTTAACCCTTCCAGAGCCAATAACCCATCTTCAGCCCGAAACATCTTCCTTCCACTTAACCATAATGATGGTTCAAACCCTGAGATCGAAGTGGAGCAGCCTGCACCGGGGATATTTATCTATCAATTTTCCGAAGGGTTCAATTATCCTAATGCAAATCACTACCTTGACTACCTCGTCTCTACGATATACAAGCAAACGCGACGAACGAACCTTGACAGCTACCCTCGTCTGGGTGATCGGCCATGGTGTGACCCCGGGCCCCGCAAGGGCCAGGTTGAAGAAGATCGTTCACATCTTCCCACTCTCAAAGCTATTATCCTTGACTTCTCCTCCGTTAACAACGTCGACGTCACTTCTATCCAAAATTTAATCGATGTTCGCAACCAGCTCGATAGATATGCTGCTCCGCAACCCGTCCACTGGCATTTTGCTCATATCAATAACCGATGGACCAAACGCGCTCTTGTTTCTGCTGGCTTCGGCTATCCGACACCCAGCCCCGGAGGGAATGGACGATGGAAAGCGATTTTCAGCGTCGCGGAATTGGGAGGTAGTAATTCTGCTGCTGCACACGAAGCGCTTAAGAGACGTCGTGAATCGGATCAATCCAGCGACAAATTCAAACAAGATGTCGAGGCGGCAACACAAGCGATAAAGCGCGTTTCCCATAAAACCGGCGGAGAGGATGGCGTCGAAGAAACATCCAGCACTGAGTCTGGAAACGAGCTTGGAAAAGAATTGGATTCTAGCAAAGTGTATAGTGTTGCGAGCCGGAGAATTGTTGCTGTCCATGGACTCAATAGGCCCCTTTTCCATATGGACCTTACCAGCGCACTGCAAGGTGCTCTTGCTAATTCTGAGGCTACTGCCGCTGAAAACAATATCACAAGAAATTAGGGGGCGTGGTTTGCACATGACGTTGTGGATCAAATTTTATTGGGGAGGCAATTGGCGTTGAAAGAAGTGCAGGTGGAGTACTGCAGTATATCCTTGTTGTTGCCAACCTGGGGATTTCTTTTCTTTTCTTTTATTTTCTTTTCTTTGCTTTTCTTTCAATTTTCCCCCTTTATATCGCCTGATCAATACCCGCTTCTATGTTTTGTTATTCGATCGAAGTTACCACACATATATATATGCTGGTGTTCTTGTATGTGCACTTTTTCGAAGCTTTCTCGGAGTCACCACTATTTATCAGTCGTTCTGAAGCTTTCCTTCCCATACCCAGCCTCCTGAAAGAAAAGGAAATAATGGAGCGAGACTATTTTACTGGTTCATACCCAATTTTCGCATATTTTGGCCCCCCTATGAGATGAGGTGAATTTCGGGATACATATATTTTTTTCTCAATTACCTCTTTACATTCCACCACTTATTACATACCACCGGTGCCTTTGATTTATTTATTATCCAACCTCTAGAAGCTATGGCCTCTCTGTTCATCAGCTCTAACAGGTTATTATTATTGTTATTATTACACCATTTAAACCCTTGTTGGGTATACAGGCACGAACAACTTGAAACAGAAAATCAAACTGATATGGGCAAATCATGAAAACACGTGTTTATGTTGGATTATCCATTTTGACCATGTAACAACATAACTCACTCCAGAAGGGATGGAAGAGATGCGGCGGCTGGTCGACTTAGGATTGGGCGTAGCGTTGAGACGGAAGAGAATTTGGAGGTTGTTAAAGCCTTGCCGCTTGAGCAAATACAAATCGAAACGGACGGATGAAAATAGTTTCCAAAATCAAATCATAGCAGTGCAGCAACAATTGCAGAATGGCGGAGACACACGTTGAGGCTGCCAGATAGGGCTAACTGACGGGTGGCTGAGCACTCAAGAGTTGAGTTGACCTTGGCGCCAACAGAAGCTTGTCCCAAGCCACAATCTGGCGACCAGCTTGCAAAACTTGGCTTTGAATCCACCTCCGGGCACTCAGATGGCGAACACGGCATATTTCAATCTAGCCAATACTTCTTTTCTTTTTTCTCGCAGGCTAGCCTTAGACTCGAAATCCATATTTTCACACAGCAATTGGCTTGGAAGTCGTGATGTTGATGTTTTGCTTGTCTACTGCGTTTGACCATGTAAGTTTGGCGCGGAGATAACTCCACACGATTCCTCGCGTTTCCTTGCCATTGACATATTTAGGATTCATGTTCTACTGCGTAGTTGGGCTGTCTTAACTACATAGTACAGTTCTATGCTGTACGCAGTGGTGCTGCAGCCTGTTGGCCGGTAACATCCTCCAGGATTGCCATCCCCTTGGTGCTCCAGAACTGCTTGGCTGACAATGTATTCGGCTGTCCCTCATGTCCATGCTGATGGAATGATCTATGTGGTTTCTACACATGATCAGCAAATTCATGGTTCGACGTCGTAGATAGTACTCGATGCTATCTGGTTGCTAATAGAGTATCGGGTTGGGCTGGGGGAAAGCTACCAGGTTCGTATAGAGAAATGTAACTAGAGAGTAGCGCCGAGCATAAGGGCTGTCATAGCCTCCGACTGCATAGAGCCTCAGAAAAAATATGAAGAACAACGACGACAAAAACAGCTATCAGGTTTGTTCTATGCAAAAGATTTGCAGACATCTGCAAAATTTTATGGGTTGGATATGGTACAATTTTTTTTATTATCGGCGTGGATGGTAAGAATTTGCTTGAAGACCATCCCACCAAGATCAGAGCCACCAAAGACTCGAGCATGTAGCTTTGGCCTTATCATACTGACCCTGGCCCAGGAAATAATGACATGGTCGAAATAGCACCAGTCCAATCACTCTTGACATTATTCGTTGAGAGGCCGCGGATTACTTCTCCGGGTTTACAGCTGAGGTGGTAAGGCGCACGATATGCAACCTGAGCCAGCAATCCGGATTCTCTTGACCGCAAGCGCATGTCTCATAGGACAGAAAACTTTAATCGACTCAAGGGTGATATCGATCAAAACTTAAGCTCCCCTTCCGACACATTCCAGGCCAGCGTTATGCAACATCTCAGCTGTCATGGATATCGACATGGATATGACTACGGCGATGATGAAGAGAGAATACGAACCCGTTAAAATAAACGTTGTGTCGAATGTGGATTTCAGGAAAATGAGTGAAAATAGTGATATGAACGGCCACGCCATAGACGTCAGATTATCGCTATTGAGGGATTGGTTTCCTTTTTCCTCAGTAGCAGGCTGCCGTCCAAGCTACTGAATTTGAAATACGACCTTTTTCCTCTTTTGGATAAGAAAGGGAGCTACCAAAGGCTTAACCCCCGCTAGGGTGGCTGAGGAACGAGATACTTAACCGTTCGAGTGTGGCTTTCATATTGCTGGCAATCGAGGAGTTGTTTAAAACCTAGTTGGGTCATCCCAATCTTCTAACTTCTGCCAAATTTCTGATATATCTTCTATTCTTTCTTCCCAGTTGAAATCCATTTATTTGCGACATGTTATATCAATTTATCAGGAAGAAGATTCATGCAAGACAGCATCTGGGAAGCACTGACCAGAAGCGCCAATGCCAGCACCAATGGCAAAATCAAAATCAGGAAAGCGAGTTGGGTCCTGTTAGACTCGGAAATGAACATGATCCCGCGGACGCAGCCTTACTTTCGGACCGATATCCTGCCCCTGAACAAATTCAGCCAAACGGCCCCTGTCAGAAATGTAAAGAGGAGAAGCATGATGCTAGAGTTTATCGTTCAAAGTTGATAGCTGGACTGGTATTTCCGTATTTTCTTGCATCAGTCGATTTAACTATCGTTGCGTCTGCAATGCCTTTTATAGCATCCTATTTCAGTACGTAACACTCATTCCGTCCTGGGTTTTGATCATTTCTGACTTCGCGCAAACTAGATAAGCTGGACCAACTGAACTGGATCGTCACTGCGTTCACATTGACGTCCACGGCATTTATCCCAGCCTTCGGCCAATTAGCCGATGTGTTTGGTCGGCATTTTGTCCTGCAACTTGCCATGTTCTTAATGCTTATTGGCAGCGTGTTCTGTGCCACTGCCCAAACCTGGGGGATGTTGCTGTTTGGCAGAGCGTTGCAGGGAATGAGCTCTGCCGGAATAATGAACTTGATAGTAATCGTACTGGCGGATAATGTATCGTTGAAAGAGAATGCGAAGAACACCACTATTTTTCAATTCGTGTCTGGTACCAGTTACGGAGTTGGACCGGTCATTGGAGGGTAAGCTGCAGTTCATCCTTCAAGAGATTATTTTTGTCGTCGACAAAATGGCAGGCTGACTAGTGTTCAGGTATTTAACGGCTGTATGTCAATCCTAGAATGTTCTTTTGTCAGTAATGTCTAGAATTTCCCTAACAGCCAAACAGGCTAATTGGCGTTACTGTTTTGTGCTAAGTATACCGGTACGTCTCATCCATCTTTAAGACTTTTTCCTTGCTGTATGCAATCGACTTTTAATTCCTTTTTGCTTGATTGGTTAGATCGCTTTTTTTGCCCATTTCGCAATATTCTTCTTACTTCGTAAGGAGCTGGTCAAGGGCACCCATGCTGCGAAAAGTTTTTCATCCATTTTATCCGGACTGGCCACCGTTGACTTGGGTGGTACTATCCTATTCATTCTCGGAATTGGTCTTATAATCCTAGGTACCAGTTGGGGAGGCGCAACGTACCCGTGGGCTTCAGCTGCTGTTCTTGTTCCCTTGGTTTCTGGGTCGATTTTATTTATTCTCTTTTTTGTTTGGGAATACTACCTCGAACCGGGGCGTGTACTCGGGAGGATTTTCCCACAGCAAACTCCCATGGTTCCGTTCCCCATGTTCAAAGTAAAGGATACATCTCTTCTAGCTATCCTGACATTCGCCACTGGAGCAGGTGAGAAAATGAGACATGGACCTGCATTCCTCCCAGGCCTGTGTGTATTCGACACTAACTTTCTTCTCTAGCCCTGTACTCGGTGTTTTATTTCATTGGAATATATTTCACACTTGTCGAAGCTTACCCTTCTGGAAAGGCGGGTATACAACTGCTGTTCTACATTCCTGGCATTGGAGGTAATGTTGCCATTCTCTGCCCCCGGACCAATTTCCTCCAGAGGTCCTATTTATGTACTAACTCGGAATTTTCAGTTGGTGTATACTTGGCCATGTTCGCATGTAACGTCTGGCCTGCACAAACCTTTGCACCGCTTAGCACAGGCACCTTAGTCGAATCCGTCGGTGTTGCTCTTATCACCTGGGCTGTCACTACTCGCAATATACCCCTGATCAATGGAATGATGGCTGTCGCAGGTGCCGGAACGGGTCTTCGATTTATGCCCTCTTCATTACACGCAGCAGGGATATGGCCAGACAAGCTCGCACCTGCCATGTCCATCATGCGATTTTGCCTTCCCTTCGGAGGCACATTGGCCCTCGCTATCATGGGTAGCGTCTTCAACAATAAGATGGCGAGCATTTTTCATCCGTCTAGCACGTCTAGCCAGTCTCAGAGTGGTAGGTTTGACATTCACTCCGGCAAAAGTCTGGATGATATCAACAAGCTGCCTCCCGAGGTGCAAGAGCATATCCGCAATACAGGGAAAGACGCGGTTATGTGGGCTTTTATATCAATAATGCCGATTATGGTGATTAGCTTTGTATCGGGAATATTTTTAGGTAATGTGTGGATTAAAAAGAAACGAGGGGAAAGCGTAGACCAGAGAGGTCAAGCTTCGTCTACTCCTCCAGCTGACGATGAGGAAAATATCGAGAGCAACGAAGTGGTGTACGTTTCGTACCTTTGGGCACTCTTAACGGTAGGCATTTTTTTTTTCCCTTGTTTCAGTTTTATCTTAAATTCCCCCATTCTCCTCTATTCCTCGCTCTCAATCACCAGTACGACCCATTCAAGATTTGCCAATCATGCTGATCATGATAAACAGGGAACCTTGGATGACAAAAAATGCATCACCAAACCCCTTACCAAAGCCCAAAAGCAAAGACAGGCTGCAGCTTTGCTTGAAGAAAAGCAACACCGAGCCAAACTTGGACACAACCCGACGGATGCTGAAAATTATATTCTTACTTCCAATCCTCATCCGTCGAAACCTACATAAGGTTTTGCTTAGATATCATCCGAACCCCCTTTTTTTGGCCTCATGTATTCTGCGTATACGTTAAGCCACAACAACATGCATACTTTCCCTTTCATACCTTCCTTGATATTTAGATGTATAATGAAACTCATATTTTAAATATTGTTTTATGTCATAAGGGTCATTTCATTGACAGGTTTTCGTTTTGAAGCTATATATTCAGAAAGACGGTGCTCCACCAGTAACTGGAACAGGCATAGGAGGATATTGTTGCTAGTATGTTCGGGCAAGGTCATTAACAGACGGCGTTAATATTGGATCTAGAATATGTACTTTTTGCTAGATGCACAAACGGTGCCGGAAGCCTCAACTTGGGAAATTCACGGGTCTTGAATGTGTAACGAGATATGTACGACTGTACATGTTCGAATAACCCATACAGATACCATTTTTAATCGGGATACATAATACACGTATAGAGGGAAGCCGACCAAACTACCTCAACACACCCCCAACCCCAGCCCATCCCAGCACAAAGCCACTAAGCGCCTCTCCCATAACCCCACCGCCAAACCAAAGGTCCCTCCAAGCACCCTTTCGACTCTGGTTGTTTCGTTTCGTCACACTCGAAGCCCCATCCACCTTCTCTGTAACAATCTCCCCTGTGCCGGGAAAGTATGCGCCAATTCCCATTCTATTGTTTCCGAACCCGATCAAAACGGCATGGAATAGGAAGGAGACGAGTATTGTGCCGACGAGATAGAAAATGAAACCGTACGACGATTGAAGGCCGAGGATGCCAGCGCAGATACCGAGGAGGAATGCGGTTAGGGAATGGAGGTTTGAGAGGGTCTGTTTCAGGGGGGTGAATATATATAGTTTCAAGCTTTTGCGGTTTTAAGGGGGTTTGGTTAGCTTGGGACAAAAACATACGCGGCTGTTATGCATGACAGAGTCGGGAACGAGAGGGTTTATGAGGAGGGAGAGTTCTTGTTGGGTTGGAGGCATTATGTCGGTGTTGGGTCTCTTGTTATTGTTCTCTCTCTCTCTTTTTCTTTTTAGCGCTGCTGAAGTTGAAGTCCCTTTTCGTTTCTCCAACAGCTGTCAATTAGGTGTCGAACATGCAGTCCAGGTGTTTGGAGGTCTCCTCGTCAGTCCATAATAAGTTGTGTATATCCCTAACAATGTTGTTAGCATGCACAGAAGTAAAATCCATATATTTTCTGTTTATTCCAGATGTGGTCTCACTTACTACAGAGTGTCGCAAAAATGTTGGACAGGTTCGGATAGAACAATGGTAGTTTGGGGAAGTTTGACCATGAATTTTAAATCACGTGATGGTGATATTTTGTCACATTTCAAGCTACTTTTCTCGATATTTTTATAAGGTAGTGGAAATGGGAATTTGAGGTGATTCTCTTTCCCAGGCTTGGGTATTTTATCTTCTGTCGAAATGCTATTCCAAGAATTTGCCACTGATGTTCAAGAAGCCAGGCAATCTCCATCTTCGCGCCAACGATGAATATCATCAGCAGCATTTTCCAGATTTTCATTTATTAGCTTAAAGAGCCGAGAACGAGAACGGCGATAAGGGGCGGAGAGCTACAAAAAAAAAAAAAAAAAAAAATCGGCTTCTAAACTTTCGTGGCTGATAAATACACAATCATAACATGACAGGAAGTACAAACAAACGGTGAATGGAGAGGAGAAATAAAGCAAAGATGAGGATGAATGGAACAATCCAAGGACAAAATTTAACAATTGCACAATATAAAAAGGGGTTCAAAAATTTTAAGAACAGCATTCCATAAAAAAAAAATTACAAAATAGATAAAGGGATACTCTCTCCTCTCCCTGCATCCTCTTAAGTCACGTTTGTAACCCGTTGTTTCTTTTTCCAAACAGGACATGAAATTAAATAGAAATTTGGGTGTGAAACTGAAATGAGATCAAACTATCCTAGCAGTATGACTGCTCTGTGGTAACATAAAATAGCCTTCTTTTACCTCATGTCAAAGAAAAAAAAGCCGTCTCGTGCATTAAGAATCGCAGTTCAAAAATAAATATATTTTGGGATACGTTTCCGTGCCCTCGATTCTGGATTCACCAGTCCGCATGGGAAATGATGACAAGGACATGAAAATCAAAGAGCAGCATTGAGTTTGCCCTCTGCCCTTGCTTCTTTGACTTGTTCGAATACCTATAAAGGCCGTTAACTCAAGTGCCCTGCCCATAAGTTTTGTGATGCTCTCTGAAACTGACCTTAAGCATTTTGTTTCTCGCTCCAAGAGCATTAACTCCACGTTCCTCTAGTCCTTTATCATTTAATTCGATCAACTCGGTCCACTTGAGATCTTTGAGGTTTTCTGTATACTTGTGAAGTCGAAGGGACCTGAGCCAGCTGGGAATATCCTGAAGGAGATGAGGATCAGTTGGATCCTCTGGCGGCTTTGAGCTGCCTCGTCTTCCACGTGGAGACCGGCCGCGTGCAATCTCGGAATGGTCAGAGAGATAACCCTCGTGATTACCACTAAATTGGGCCACATTGAGCCCACCAAACCCATTATTTAACAACGCATTCGTATCGTACGCAGCCAGAAATCCGTTGTTCTGGGGGGAGGCGAAATTCATGTGCCCCATGCCGCCTCCCTGCATCGCAATTCCTGGGGAATTGGGGCGGGATCGGCGACCACTCATGGCAGCCTGTTGCTGGGCTTGCAAAGCAGCAATTTGCTGGGCATTCAATATTTGGCCGACATCATTAACCATGATCAAATTCGTTGCCGGAAGGTTGTTTTTAGGGATTCCAGGGGAGAGCGGTTGTTGGTTAATGTTCAAGTTTTTTCCCTGTCCATCATTAGACCGAGCACGGCGATACTTCCGTGCATCGTCCAATGCAATCCGGTTATTTACGGTGGACAAGGCAGCCAGCTTCATAGCTGTCGCATTGGCAACCATATCTGCTTGCGATGGGGCATTCTGTTGTTGACTAAAGGTTGCCACGCTTGGGGTGTTTGCCATTGATGCCCAGCTAGCGTTGCCAACATTATAAGGAGAAAATAATGGCGGTTCTGTTGAGAGATCTGGCGCCGTCACGATGGTGTTCTGGATGTTAGATGATCCTTGAGGCAGAGGTCGCGGAGATCGAAGTCCTGCTGATTGAGGTGGCTGAACGAATTGACCCATTGGTGGCTGCTGTTGTCCAGATGATGATTTAGGCCGCGCGATAGGTGGCTGAGGCTCAGGGGTACGCTGGACCCAAGGAGATGATGGTGGTTGGGATAAATTATCTTTACCGCTATCTGGAGCAGAGATTGTTGGTGCAATCAAGGAAGAGCGTTCCCCGAACGCAGCACTATTTCGAGTTGCAGTAGGAGCAGCACCAGTCTGTTGGGTAAACTCAGCCCTCTGTTTCGCAATAGCTGCAGCAGCATCTGGGAACATGGCGTTGATTGTGGATGAATCTAGCCCTGAGTTACGTTTGTTCCCAGGAGAAAGAGGCGGGCGACCAAAAGAATTGCGAGAACCTTCAACGTTCAATTTGGACATTGCATCAGTGAGACGGCTGTTCATGGGATCTGTGGCAATGTATTAGAAAACTATTGATACTTGGATAAGGCAAAATTGGCACTGTTCTTTACCTTTTTCGCCGAAATTGGCGGGAGAGAGAACACTAGACATTGGATGGCTCTTTGACATTTGCTGAAGAACCTGGATAAAAAAGCGGATCTGTACTTGAGTCGTTTGTTGAAGAAGAGCATAAAGAGCAGCGGTTCTCTCAGCCTCACTAAGAACTCGAAACCACTGCTCAATAGCACTTAGCTCATCTTTGAAATCTTGGTCCAAGGTGGCAGCTGCCATCTCCTCCAGAGTTGTCTCATACTGATCAATATCTGCAATCCACTGCTGAGCAGCCTTGTCGATGTCATCAGTATTCTGAGGTTGCGATTGTTGGTTATAAAAGACTTCGGAGGAGGGCCGAATGCTTCGAGTAGAAAGAGGAGAGGCAAAGGAAGACATGTCGGCGGACGCACGCAGCTGATGAGAGCCACCACCAAGGGCGCGGGAAGATGGGGGTCGAAGTGAAGATTTTGATGCTTCTGGTGTACTGTTTCTGTTCCCAATAACGTGGCTAGCCATGGTAAAATATAAAGGGAGCAGCTGCGGGGAGGCAGGGCGCTCCGTTGAATGGACGGTTTCGGGAGAGGTGATTAGATGGAAAAATTATTAGATTAGGGCACGAATGTTGATTAGTGCAAAGCTCCTGCAGCACCCGCTGAATTTGCGTATGTATATTACGTTCGAGCCCGAGAATAGTTTCACCGATTTGCCAGTCGCTTAATGGGAAATCTGAGGGGGAGAAGAGAGGTAGGATGACAACTTTTCCAATCTCAGGTCGACACTCAACGAGGGAGTTCCGATTGGACAAAGGGTTAAAGACAGACCAGTCCAGTGGCTGTACTGATTGTGGGTGAGAGGAAAAAGGGATGACGGGGATAAACTGGCATGAAACACAAATAAGCGGAAGTATCAGGGAGACGAAGAGTGACCAAGAGCTGATTTGGTGGAGAAAGCTGCGAATAGGAAGATACGAAATCAGACAGCAGTGTTTCAAACACAGCAGCGAAAGACAGGCAGAAGTCTAACTACCAGAAAGGGCGGAGGTCGGAACTAGGGAAAGAGAAGTGAAGTTGGTGGTAGAGAACGAACGAGGATGGAAGAAGGGGAGGGAGGAGAAGACGGAGAGGATGAGGCTGGAGAGGGACGAACGTTTGCAATAGAAAGTTGAAGTCGATCGAGGATTTCGGTGGACCGAACTGGCCCCGCTGACTCAGCCCATCTCGTGCGGATGCCTGGCGCTTGGCGGCTCAGTAAGGTTTAGTGCCTGGACCCGCTGACCAGCCGAGCTTTGAGCAAGTTGCGCAGGTTTGTTGACGTTTCTTGCAGCTGGGAGGGGAAAAGATTGCAGAAGGCATGGGCGTTGCTTTCTTTGACGTCTTTGGAGGCATCTCCTGTTGGATGTGCAAACAAGTTGAAGGAAAAGTCTTTGTCCCACAGATCTCGTTCTGAAATCTAGAGATCTTCACAAGGGATCGTCTATCCGCCAGTGGTCTCAGGATAACCATGGAAAGTCAAAGGTTCAACGGAAGCTATGTGGAATACCAGAACCCAACTGCAAATGAAAGAACAGCACCCGGTCGATATTACTAAGGAAATTCCGTAACTAGTATGTAGCTGGCAGCGATTGAACAAAGCGGAAGTGGGATGGATGCTCACCCCCTTATCATATCACTTCTTGTGCTAAGGTTAACATTCAACAAGTTGCTCCCGAACTTCCAGCAAGTATGTGCATATTTTATACAGCGGAGCCCAAATTACAGATCTGGCTATATAGCTCCATAGAAATCAACTCAGATCATCTTCATTATTATTTAATACATTTCCTTGATTGAGAATGATACAAATAGGGCCAAAAAAGATCGGACAAAGGGCAAATAGCCACGTCATTCGACGAGTAAATAAATAATCAATCCCAACTATGTTATAAATAATGCTAACGCCACAAACGCCAGGGAAAGGATTGGAAATGGTGCGGATATCGAACTACAACAAAACAAAATGGTAAGGGTTAACACGTACAGATATGCCTCACGAAAAGTAAATATATCCAACCAACTCCAAGAAGAGAATCCAAACCACAATATGTTCAAAAGATACATTCAAGCCCCTTGCTATGGAGAAGCAATGAACTCAGGCTTCTTAGCAGCTGCCATACGCTTCCGTCGGCTTGCCAGAGCACGGCGGGAACATGTGTATCCCATGTATGTTATCCCGAGGATAACAAGCACACCAAGTGCCACTCGAGAATCCCAGACCAACGCTTGCCAACGAGTTTGGAAAAAGAAAGTTCGTTCGGTAGGTCGACGAATGGCGACAAGTTGCGAAAGAGTCGACCAGAAGGATCCAATGAAGGACTCAGCTCGCGTCAGAGCTGTTGCTTCAATAATCGGCCAGTACGCAGCGAGGCGCCACTCATGCTCCTCCTCCGGGTGTGCCGTCCTAATAGCCTCCTTGCATTTGTGGGTCATTTCCATGAAATGGGCTCGCCCATCGAGCAATTTTACAAGGTCGCGGACAACTTCACCTTCACGGTCATCGGTCGCAATAACCACAGGCTGGTCCGGGTTTAACTGCATGCGTTTAACATTGTCATAAAGGTAGGAACCCGTCCAGTCACATTTGCCGAATACACTGCGGAGGACGGGGATTTCATTCTGATGGCAAGGGTCTTTCTGGCCAAAGGAGAGGTCGGATGGCCAAGTTCGAATATGCAATGCAACTGCGTGGGGAAGGATGTCGGGTAGCATATCCTTCACGCAGGCATCGAGAGGATCTGAAAGTGTGAATAAGCGCGCGGCTTTTCTCCATGGCCCGGCTCGAAGAGGAAGGATGAATGAGTCCCGTACAAAGCTGAATGCAGAATGTTGCCAATACGATTCGCTTGGCGCGGTAATGCGGACAACTTGTTCTAGCGTTTCGGCGATTTCGCTCGTGAAATCCACCACTAAAGTCGATGCGTTTTGTAGACTGGTAGCAAGTTGGGGCCTCGTGTCGTATCCCAATTTCTCGAGTCCTGCTGCATTAAAAACATGGGTGACCGGTATTAGTTGCGATGTAGCAACACCTCGTACCGCTGGACAGGTGATTCCTGGTGATAACAATCTTCGGGCTGGGAGAGGGTTGTTGACTGCTGATGCAAGGTGAAGAATGAACTGATTATTGAAGTATGCGAAGTCCGGGTTGTCCCACTATGTATTACACAAAAGGGTTAGTGTCACGATATCCATGATAGAGAAACGCGGCTGGGCAGGATCGAGTTCAAGGAATTGTCCATACTGTGAAATATTTTTGGACGCCCGTGTGGACCAGCGGCTGTCTCCGTTGAGGCAAGTAGAGAAACGTAACTGTAACAAGGAGGGTTGCTGCAAGCACGAGGCCGCGAAGAGGCCATCTCATGGTTTCGATAAATATTCAATATTGTCCGTCTTTGACCAAAAATAAAAATAAAAATACTTGTTCCTTCTTACAAATTCCAATCACCAGAAGGAAGCTCCCAGTCATCCAGTCCCTCGCAGTATGTAGGTCTTTTGCAGGCTAAATTTCAGCCTCATCCTTGTTGGAAACCAGAGACTGTTCAGGGTTGAAAATAGAACCCCGTATGCGCTACGTATACGCCTTTTGTAATAAATGAAAATCTAGGCACTTGTTTTTTTTTTCATTGGCGGATATCGGGCGTCCTGGTAATCGACGCCCCATCCCCTCAAGCTTCGAATGATATTGTGGGATGGTTGATCTTGTTATTGTTGTGGTCGCTAGCTAACTATATAGGGGTAATCACGTGCGGTGGAGGGCCACCTGGGCAACTAGTTAGTAGTGCCCAACACCCCCCCATGCGTCAACATGCATGATGTGTTCCTACAAATATTCCATGCTAACTATCTTAACCTAGATCATCCCAAAAACATGCTATATACAGAAATTTAATCATTCTCACTGTTGTCAGTGAAAAGTTCTAGTAATTTAATGAAACATCTAAATGCCACTGTGCTCAGAGATTTGATTAATTCATCTGCTACTATATCCTCAGTGGAAACATGATTAATTGAAATAACACTTTCATTCAGTTGCATGCAAGAATAGTGGAAGCAAGTGTCAATATACTTGCTGTGTGCTGTGATCATGACAACAGTAGTTAGATTGATTGAATCTTTATTATCTGCTCTAATGAGTAAGAGATTCTTTGCTGTAATGAATTCTAGTTTCATTATTATATTACACAATTACATTGCTTTACATACTGCTTTGCTGAGTGCTATATATTCTGTTTTATTTGAATTTAAAGAAACACAAGATTGTTTGAATGAACATCATGAAATTGATGCATCTGCTAACTTGAATATGAAATCTGAAATAGATTTATATTTACTATTCAACAGTTCTGCTCAATCTGAATCTGTATAATCTATCAGCAGATATAATATATTGAGAAATTTATTGATCTCATTCTTGAAGTCTTCATATAAGATGTCTAGATTGCTTGTTTCTTTTAAATATTATATGATACAGAGAAGAGCTCTTTATATCTTAGATGTAGATGCAGTATTCTTCTGTACTAGTAGAGATACTGCTCATACAATATCTGAATATAATTTAACTGTCAGATACTGCAAGCACTCTACTCTATATTAATATTATTCTTTAGTGAACTCTTCTTTTCATTCTGATACAGAGGTATTGTCTATCTTCATTCTCTCAAGTATTGATATAGAGACAGAGATAGTGTTGTCTAGGCAGAAATCTTGCACTAAACAATCAATATAGCATCTCAATATCAATTTTATAGTATTATTGAGATGACATTCAACCTCCATGCTCAAGTATTTCAAAGGTTTTTTCAAATCTTTTATTTCTAATTTATTGATGAGGATATCAACTAGTCAATTGATATCTACTGAATCTTCTACTATAATATGAAAATCATTCATATAGATTATTATATAAAGATGATTGCAGAATATATGATATTATAGAGCAGAGTTATAGAAGCTAGATTTGAAGCCATTCTTGTGGAGTAATACTATAAGAAAATCATATCAAATCTTAGCAGCAGAGTTTAATCTATATAGAGAGTCTATAACAGCACAAATCATCATATGTGAAGTCTCCATCTCAAATTCAGTAGATTGTCATATATAAATTATTTTATCAAATTGACTGTGCAGATAGATCATAACTATATCAATCTAATACAAGTTTCAATCTCACTTCACTGCTACTACAAACATCATACAATTAGTAGTATCATTGACAATGAGTGTGTATATTTCTTCACATGTGCTCTTCTTTAATCAATTGCTATACACTATTTATTGAGATTTTCATAATATATCATCAGAATCTGTGTTGAGGTTCTGAAGATGATTTTTTTTAATATAAACTCAGTAACTGAGAGCCACTGACTCATCAGAAGAGACATCAGAATATGAGATTATTATTTAAATATTTCTTCATTTTAAATCTGCAATCTCACATTTCATCAACTTTTGTCAATATTCATCAACCTCTTCATATCTACTAACAGTATTCTTATATTCTTTTGAAACAGAATCAGTGAAAGGAGAAGAAATATAGATGATGAATACTTTCACTGATTTTATCTATTCAGCATCAGCTAATTCAGAAACAGCAGTATTGTCAATAAGATAAGTCACTGAATTTGCAGCTTTAAGTGTTGTATGATTAGTATCAATCTGCAGAGTTGTAGATTCTTTTACAGAGAAAATAACATCACTGATGATAATTATTTTATCAGTTATAGAACTTCAGAGATGATAAATTGAGTTACTATAGAATTCTATAAGTTTAAATATTTCTGCTCTGATGAACAGCTTATTGATAGATTTTTGAAATTTATGAAGATATATATAAACATCAATATCTAGCTCTCTAAAATGGCAAAGTTGAGATGGAGTGTTGATTAGTGCTGAGAATGAGACAGTATAGAGGCATCACACAGATGCTTCATTGATGTTGTTGATAGATCAGTATTTTTTATTATACAGAGTGATAGATGTCAGTATATTGTTGGAATTCAACTACTATTTCAAAAATATCTGCTCAGAACTTCTTCAGTATATTCATATCTATAAGCACTACTCTAGCACACATTATTATTATATGAATTTCTCTCTCAGAAATACTATCTTGATGAGAAGATTGAGATGTAGTAGATTCTCAGATAGTGCTATTTTTGATTATCATCATTGTCATTTTGTTTGATCAAAAGACATCATCAATATCAGTTCTAACTAGTATCAGTGATGTGAAGCCAAGATTTTTCATGAATTGAACTCAGTGAGTGTAAAATTTGATAGCTTGATTCTTAGTGTGTAAAAAATAGATTTATCTATAATGAGTGGCATCATCAGTGATAAGCATATAATATTTGATTTCTTAATGAGATTCTATAGAGTAATCAGATATATCATTCAGTGTATAACTGTCATCAGCAAAGTTGATATAAACACATTGTATTGCTCACAATGCTTGTGGTATGAAAGTTTGTGAGAATTTGTATATTATATCTGCTTTGATACAGCTATTGCAGAAGAAGTCTGTTTTAGATCTTTTGATACAGATGCTGAATAACAGATTCTTCACTAGTGTGATAATTATATCAGTGTGGATATACTCTAGAGTGACATGTCATTCCATGAGTGTTCTTATCAGAGAATTGCAATTGCTAGATTGATCACTAGATTTTCTCATAATTGTTAACATTGTATTCTCATAATTGTAAGATTTGATCATAAAATGAATGATCTGAAATGAATGATGAACATCTATTTGAAATTCTTGTTCTATTATTTTGTAGACTGATTCTTTGAATATACAAACAGTGATGAAGTTGGCACTGTTCAGAGTCTTTATTGTAAAATAAAAAGAAGTGATATCAGATAGTTGATATCTGAAACCTTGATCTTCTAGCTTCATAAAGAATAGAAGATTGACAGTGAGGTTGAAGATTCAGTGAATGTAATTCACTGAGATATCTCTCTCTTCTGATTCTAGAAGAATATCATCTATTTTCTCAACTCATTCTATATCACTGTTTATGATGATTATCTCTAAATTTCTCTCAAACAACTTTGCACACATCAACAAGTGTCTTTTATCTGTTATATTAAAGCTTGTACAGATGTTGAGATATCAAGATTTAAATATTGTAGCAGATGATACAGATAAAGTAAATATTATATTAATACTAAATTATGAGATAAAAAGATCTGATACTCTGATGTCAGTAGATTTGTTGTTATTCTTATTCTTCTTCTTATTCTTTTCTTTCTTTTTGATATTCTCAGTGTTGTCAGTGCTCTTATTATTCTTATTCTTCTTTCTTCATCACTCAGATGCTTTGTCAGAGTTTAGATAATAGCAATTAGTCTTTATATACTCTGAGATCTTACAGTATCTACACTGTGAGATTGTGATGATAATTGTGATATTATCATCATTATTATTGATAACTGTGTTGATTTTTGAAGCTTTGAGATGTTCAGAATCCTCTGACTTACTCATTCAGTGAGTAATTTATTTTGTGAGATTATTGATATCTAAATTGACAATTGAACTCTGATCTGTTCTGTAGAATATATCAAGATATAATTTAATATAGATTTTCTGATAATCTTAGAGACTGATAATAAAGAAATCATGAAGATAGTTCTCACTGCAGTTCTTTATTAGTTGTCATATATGAGCAGACAGATAGTGATATCAACATATATACATCAGATAATCACTGTTCTTGATATATAAGTGGATAAGTTCTTTGAGAATATTAATTCTTTTCTTCTCTAGAGACATTATATATACTGTATTTATCTTATACTATAGAGCTGCTGTATTGTTGAATTGAATGAATTTCATGATCAAACAGACAGAATCTATCAGAGATTGTAATATACAATGAAAAAGTAGCTTTGAATATATCACTCAATATTATTGCTTAAGTGTTGATAAATCTTCAGATGATTTCTGTTGATTCTTATTGAGAATATCTGTATCACTGATCATCTCTATATTCAAGAAAAATATCATCTTTCATATCTGATAGTTGATATCATTGAATATGATGATGAACTTTGTGTTCAATAAAATCTGTGCTTTCTTCTGATATTCATGAGTCAGCATGTTTGAATCTTCTTCTGGTATAGAGTTTGAGAGAGGTGAAGATGAAGAAGAAGGTGATGAAGAAGATGATGATATATATACTGATATCAGTTACTTACAGAGTATAATGAGATCTGCTGCTGCCATGATCACTATACTGTTAGAATTTGATATAGATATTGATATAGAACTGAGTATATCATTCTTGAATTCCTCATGTTCTGACATCTTGTCAGTATCTTATGCTGAGTCAGAGGTTGTCATATCTTCCTCTGTCATTGTGTATTCAGTTTGATCACCCTCTGCTTCTGAGATGAATTCTTGTTCAGTAACAGAGAGAATGAACTGAGAAATCCTTGATTGTAAATGTAGTATCTTCTTATATTCTGATATGAGAGTTGCAGATAATTGAGAATCACTCATAATTGATTTTAGAGGGTTCTGAATGAAAATAAATAAATAAGTTTTTAATCTCTTCAAGATAGTAATGAAATCTCTGCAGCAGTCTCAACAGTAATTCTGTCAATTATACCACTTTTATAGACAAAGAGCTCTCTTTTCAGAGGAATAATGTCTAACTCATCCAATATAACATCAGTTGCAGTGTATTCTAATTAAAACATCTGTTTTTATTAAAAATCTGCTATCCAGGCCATAACCTGTGGGATGGTTGATCTTGTTATTGTTGTGGTCGCTAGCTAACTATATAGGGGTAATCACGTGCGGTGGAGGGCCACCTGGGCAACTAGTGCCCAACAGATATTCCACGATTTTCGCCGTAGTTTGGCACTAGAGAAAAGGACTGGCAAACTTTCGCTCAAGTTGGAATCGCGTGTTCAAAAATAGGCTAACTCGACATCGTCCTTCAAATAATCAACGACCAAGCGATGCTGATTGAAAGGATTGGACATCAGATTTTGTCCCGCAGCTGGTTGATATCGGACAAAGGTTGATATTGATAAGGAGGTGGAGACTTGCACAAGTTCGTTCTCAACTGAGTTTTTTTCAGAAATGGAGCACCAAGGGAATTTTGAAACGAAAAGTGGCCCGACCCCACCTTGCTGGCAGAAGCGAGAGCGGACATCCGATTTTTCGGAATCCTCAAAAAAACTATAATTTATTGTGCTATCTCATGTTACCACCAACCAAAGAATCATGTCGGGTTTGACGAATAGCTACCCAATGATTTTGACAGAGTTAACTAACTTGCGTTTGGAGGAGTAATTCGTCCCTTTGAGCATGGATGAAGTGCTCCCAGCCAATCAGATCGCAAACCGGGAAGAACCTCTCCAGGGATTGGTAACGTGACCGAGCCGCGCTTCGGCACAGCACGTAAATGCGCTGTAGGTAGTACGGAATTCATCTACGAACAGTTCTTTTTTCCAGTTCTAGGCGTTATGACATGCGTAATCGCTAAGTTTCCCTACTATTATCTCAGTTCTTTGTGTGTTGCTCTTGCAGAAACTGTTCTCAGGAGAAAGAGCATGGCCACCCTCCGAAGGAACATTACAAAACACTACTGAATCTCCACCACTGGGTTAAAAAGTTACATTGTCACAGAGAACACTCAAGTGGGCGTAACTGGCTGTTATTCTGATATTCCCTCAAGCTCTCGACCGACCCGGCAACCAAATACTCAACACTCCATGTCTGAGAATGAAGATGTTGATATGGATTCGGGGAGTGAATCCGAACTTTCGGCGAGTGATACTTCTTACAGAAAAGAGGGATATGATGATTATTACAACAGAAACAGACGCCAGAAGTATTCAAGTGAGCTAGAGACGTCCATGGACAATCCAGACCTTCATATCTCTGAAGGAGGCTCGTAAGGCCGTGCATACTGCAAACCTTGCAAAATTAGATGTTGAGCTAACTCGAAGTGACAGGAGTGAATCTGAAAGTCTTGAAGAACCCGATCAGTTCAGTGAAGATGTCGATCCCGACTTGGGCTTATATGGTCGTAGGGCTAGGAGGGGACGTCAGTCCATTGGCAGGCCATATAATTTCGGTGCACGAGGTGGAAAAGGAATCAAAAGAGGTCCCAGGAAGCCATTAGAACCAAGCTTGGAGTTCAAGAATTTACATTCTGAGGCAACCTCTGCATTCATTGATGCCGACTATGAGAGAGCCACGGTTCTCGTGAAGCAGGCCATTCAGATCAATCCCGAAATGTTTGCTGCTCATTCTCTTCTATCAGAAATATTTCTTGCTCAAGGGCAAATGGACAAAGCTCTTGCTGCGCTATTCAGTGGCGCGCACACACGACCGAAAGATCCGTCCGTCTGGATGAAAGTTGCGAAATTGATCTTAGAAAGAACCGGAGAAGATCGGACCTCAGCATTGCAAGATGTAATCTACTGTTATAGCCGCGTGATTGAGATCGATCAAAAAAATTACGACATACGATTTGAAAGAGCCTCAGTGTACCGTGAATTGGGCCATAATGGGAAAGCCGCTCAGGAGTACGAAAGGTTATTAAAGGATCTACCGCACAATACAACAGCGCTCCGCCTTCTCGCAGAGACCTATATTGATCTGAACGAAGTTGATAAAGCAAAAAGTCGATACGACGAAAGCATCGCATATTATATGTCCCTAACTTTGGAGGAAGCCACCGACTTTACATGGTCTGATGTGAACATTTATGTTGAATTTTTTAGCTATCTGGACGACCATGAACAGGGAATATTTATGTTGAAATCTCTTTCTAGATGGTTGCTAGGGCGGAAAGATAATGTGGAATGGGATGATATTGTTGAAGACGACCGAGAGTTTGATGCTGAACATTTCCCTCGTCGATCAGAGGTCGCTTTTTTTGTCCCAAATAAATATCCGATCGAGTCTTACGGGAGTGGCCTTCCCTTGGAGCTTCGCGTGAAACTTGGAATATATCGGTTGAAATTGGGCCTCCAGTATCGAGAAGAGGCGTTGGTAAGTGCTTTTGTGTTGTTTTTTGAATGCATCCTCTTCGCAGGTGAGAAAGTTGATTATAGATTAGTCTCATTTTTCGTGGCTAAACCCGGATGACTCCTCGGAAGGCGCGTTACTCTATGATTTCGGAGATCTGTTCAGGGAGGCAGGCGATGCACTCAAAGATGCCCAATTATACCAAGACGCAATATTGTTTTACCTTCCACTCCAGAGGACTCGCGAATACGCAGATACAAGTCTTTTTATGTCCATGGCTGAATGTTATGTCGCTTGCGAAAATGATGAAGCAGCTGAGAACTGTTATTTAACGGTGGTCGAATATGATCGGAACAATATTGAGGCTCGGGCGAAATTGGCCAAATTTTACGAAAAATTAGGTATGATTGAACAAGCATTAAAATATGTCAACGAAGCTATTGAATTAGGAAGACAGGAGTCAATGCCAAGGCGAAAGCGGAAATTTGGCTCTAGGGCTCTACAGCTTGCGAGAGAGTTCCGCTCAACGGAGTCTGGGGATAATGCACTGGCAATTTATGAGGGTCCTATTGGGGCAGAAATCGAAGACTGGAGAACTACCACTCCTCCAGCCAGTGTGCCCGGTGGCCTCGTGACTTCCGCTGCTCCCATTTCTAAGAAGCGGCGGCAGGCAAAAGAAGAATATGTCGGCGCTGACCATATCAGGTATTTGTACTCCAAATTGCTAGATCTTGAACAAGCAATGAGAGAAGGTCAAGAGGATGTAACGGAAGATTGGTTGGATATCGCGGATGCTTTGTTACGAGATTTTCGATCAAACCGTGTCTTTTTCCCCATGCAAAGAAACATGATGTTCTCGGGATATTCCAGAGAAGCCCAACGGAAAGCTGGACGCCTGAAATCGACAACAATCATGGACGAAATGGAGGAAATGGCTGGACGGCTTCAGGCAACTTTAGGCAAGCGTTACCTTCAATTGTTGATGTTAAAGCGCTACTAATTACGGATCTAGGAACCCCCGAAATTGATCCTGCGACGATCCCAAATGATTACCACTCTATATCATTCGAACAGTGGCTGGATATATTTCTGGAATATGCACTTGTCCTTTCTGGGCAAGGCCAATCTGAAGAAGCATACGACACCCTTTCTGCTGCAGCCGATGCTAGCATTTGGTATCATTCCAAACCCAGCAAAGTCCAAATTTATACTTGCTGGTTCAGTACGTGGATTACCATCGAAACCAAAATTATATGCATGACTAACGGCCAGCGACAGCTTGCGCGCTCCGGCTGAAGGACGAAGAAACACTCTCCAACATCTCCCGCTGGTTCATGAAAGAGTACCAATTCGTAACCGACACATACCGGCTCTTCGCAACACTAAGCCGACTCTGTGGCGACCCACGAAAATCGCTGTTCCATTCGTCCCCCAGCATGAAATTCATGCTGCGTCAAATAAAGGCGATTGATTATACCCTCCCAGATGACCCGCTGCGACCTACCCAAACCCGCCGCACTCGAGCTTCCGTTTTCCAAGAACGTGCTACCCTTACCACCAAGGATGCATCTGGCCAACCCATCCCAGCAGAAGACATGGACATCCCGCTCTTAGTGCTATACGGACATATACTCTACGCCGGTACAAGCTTCACAAACGCCCTCAACTACTTTTTCCGCGCGTATGCCCTCGCACCGGAGAACCCCGTCGTTCTCCTCTCTATCGGTCTCAGTTACATCCATCACTCCCTCAAGCGACAGTCTGACAACCGACACTACCTCATCATGCAAGGATTGTCGTTTATGCAGGAATACCGACGTGTGAGAGAAAAGAGCCCTATTCCACAGGAGCGACAAGAGGTAGAATTCAACTTCGCGCGGGTCTGGCAGATGTTGGGCTTGACACACTTAGCTGTACTGGGTTATCATCGATGTCTTGCTCTCAGTGAGGAAGTAGAAGCTGAGCGCGAGAGATTTAAGAAAGGTAAAAATATACCTGTGACTGCTGGTGGTGGGGCTTCAAGTAAGGATGTCTGGGTGGAAGATTTCACTCGTGAAGCTGCCTTTGCTTTGCAATGCCTTTATTCTTTCTCTGAGGAAACGAAACTAGCGAAGGAGGTCACTGACAGGTGGCTTGTCATTTGACCACAGGATCTCACTGTATTATATACGATCCAAATATCTTATATCAGAATCTATAATGTAACGATGGAATTAGAGTTCTTACTATCACTCTTTAACTCATTAGCAATACAACCTAAGGAAGAAAAACTTGTGGGTATAGTTATCAACTCTGAAATGGAATACGCTAAACGTCAATACCCAACCCACCACCGCAAAAGTGCCGCAGCTAATTGACAACTATAGTCATATACAACCGCTCTCCAAGTTTGCACCTCCAGGTAACATTGGAAAAATATAAAAAAGTGCGCGCCGAAGTCGGAAATGCCGAATGAATTCAAGCGGTCGAGTCATTACGTATATAAAAAATTAATCACCCAACTCTCGTCGGTCTTTCTCGGGTTGATGACAACTGCTCATCCTCACTCAGGCCAGTCTCATCAACATCATCAAAGAAGACAGCTGACTGCCGTCGAATTTCTTCAAGAACGCTGTTGCGGTGTCTTAAATGTGGTCGATTGTCCAAGTCTGGAATTCGTGGGTTATTCGTACCGTCAACCCGATCCTGGGATCGCCTATCCAGGTCTCGCTGCGCATATTGGACATCATACTGATCTAATTCACCATCGTTGGCGGATGGGTCAATTTCGGGGGGCAAAGGTGTATTAAGCTGGCGAGCAGAAACACGTCCATCCCGCTTCAGCGCCGCGGCGACCACCTTCTCCAGCTTCATCCTGTTCTTGATAAATTGAATCTTCGGGAAGGTGCTATTTTGCCCTTCATTTATCATACGGGATAATCGCTCAGGCGTAGGGTCAGTCAAGATGTTATACAAATCGGAGAGTGTCGATTTCGGCCAAATCGTAACAATCCCACTGAACCGTTGCAGCCATATTTCACTCCAATCCTGACCTAGTGGTCGAGGAAGAAGTTCAAGATGTCTGAGGACCTTGAGCCATTTGTTCAAGTCCAATTTAATATATTGTTCTGTGGCCGACCCGAGGAAACCCCCGCGCCAACCGCGACCTTTGCGATGGGTAACAGGACGACCGACGCTACCCCTGGAGCTGAAAAAGAATAAACTTATGTGGGGATTAACCTAAAAGTAATTCCTCTCAGCCGTCTACATAGCCCAAACGGCAAATGAAAAACTCACTTGAGATACAATCGGAAAGTTGGCATTGAAATGGATATCCAGTGCCTTCAACGGTATATCAGTTCGCAAACTACCGTCCTTCCACTTATGACCAAAAGAGTAAGGGGCAAGTGTCCCATCAGGCTTCTTCATCATCAACACGACAGGATTGAGTATCCCAGGAACAGCTGCGGAGGCAATGACTGCGCTCCATATAACACAATGGGGCGATGTGAGATAGTTTGCCAGAATTGTAGGAGAGTGGGGATCTGACGGAACGCAAGAGACGTTTAGAATTCGTCCGGTTCGCTGATACGCCTCCAAGAATGTGGTGGAGCCCCTGCAGAACCAGCTGCATTTTTCTGCCCAGTCGAGGGTGTCAAACCTAGCTCCCGTTCGCCACCATCGCCGTATCCAAATTTGAAATGAGTCTTCGCATGCCTTAATTTTATGGGCCAGCTCTGGAACGAGGAGTTTTTTGAGCTCCTCGTTTGTTCTCGTGGCTACCAGCGCGGCTACAAGGGCACCTCCAGAAGTTCCCGAAATGATATCAGGGAGTACTCCATTATCAAGGAGAGCCTTGACAACCCCAAAATGATAGTATGAAAATGTAGCTCCCCCAGAAAGACACAACGCCGTGCGACCGTAATTAGTTTCCAGTTGCTTGAAAAACACTTCCTTGGTTGTATTAGGGACATCTTTGCTTGTAAGGATAAGCCGCAATGAGGTATGTACTTCATCAATGAATTCTTGAACCAACCGCTTGGTTCCAATGTATGTCTCGCTGTATAGGCGTGGATTCTCAACCCCAGCGAAATTATTCTTGACGCACCCTTCGAGCAACACACGGAGGTCTTCCAGCAATGAGCAGAGTTTGGCACGATCACCTTCACTGGTTTGTGTTTGCTCCACCTTTTCTCTTAGTGTCTCCAGTTGTCTTTTGACCCTTTTGACTGTTCCATGGTCATAATATGCATATTCGTCCACTTCTTTCCATCTGTCATTACCCAGATAAGCATCCAGCTTCTTAGCGGCCTCCTTCCATTGTCTATAGTTGTTTGCGGCTCCCATATGCCTTCTCAGAGTTTGTCTCCTTCCTCTCCAAGTAACGAAATGTTCATAAAGGTAAATGTATAGCCGAGTGAGAACGTAGAGGGCACTGAGAACCGAAATCCAACCCAAGACGATCGAGAGCAGTGGCCATTTTAGAAGCACGTACAAATATCCTTCCCTCGTTTCGTCGACTGTCCTGTTGGCTGCCTTGCGACGCGATCCCAGTTTCCGCACTCTCTGGTGTATGGGGCGCCAATCGTTGATCGCAACGAGAGGTGCGGCTTCTGGAGCGCTGAGGGCGTTCTCGAACTGCTCGAGCTCCTTGTCTTCAATGAATCTCCTGTTGAAGTCCGGAAGCCCATAATCCTCCTGTGACGAGCCCATGCTTTCGCGAGCTTACACTCGAACCCAAGTCGTCGATATCTCAAAACAAAATAAATTAATCCATTTTGACAGAAAAATTCATCGTTGCAAGCTGATGATAGCCAGCTTTCAGTTATGCGAAAAGTCAGGGAGTTCAAGATCCAGGAAGTTCATAGCCACCCCAAGCCACGTCGGACGATATTGCATCATACTATTAGCCTTAATTCAGCCACATAAATCACGTGGTTTGCCCTTGAATTAGCTCGCTTTCCAGCGACTACGTATGGCTGCGTGCCATATCTCTTCCCCGTTGATTTTATCGTCTCTTCGAAGCTTGCTAATGACTCCTACTGTCCTTTTACAGGAGGCATGAACTAAATGTGAACCGCTAACTATGTCGTCCGACCTGTATAATCCCAGGCCCGATTTGGTCACTAGCGGAAGCATCAACCTTGATCTACCAACTACAGCGCACAGTCGGTGATATATGATTGTGGCACAACAATCATAGGTGTCAATAGTATCCATAGGCCAACAGATAGAAGGGTCAATGTATAACAGAGACGGTCAAATAAAGCTCAACTTGCTACAGGTTTAGTCCGTTCGTGGCTGGCTGTATGCAGGGTTATTTTCGCGCCAATGATTTGCAGGAGTGATAGAGACCCATATCACAAACTTATGAGAGAACTAGACATATCGATATTGATGGAAAAACTTACAAAATTTTGCGAAAGCGAGGACAAAAGTGAGATCTCTGATACTATTGCAGGCCGAAGGACGCAGCCAGCCACGTACGATGGCTATGGCCCATCAGTTATACCCTTTTCTGAGAGCTTCCCAGAAGATGGATCTTAGTGGTTGACCCGTTACAGGACCCTATCGAATCCATTCTCCAAAATATGGGAGGCAGAGCCTGCATACTTGCATTTCTTAGCTAAAACCCAAAAGGGAGCGAATAAATTTTGAAAGAGAAAATGCGAGTAAAGTTTTCAGACTCCAGCGTGCAGCAGCATCTTGTTAAAATGGTGATCTGATAAACCTAGTGGTTCTTGGCTACAGCACAGCCAAGCCTTGCGCCGCCCCATTTTTATATCGGTCGCCGATGTTTAGTGCCAAAGGGATACAGGCTGCATATTTCCGTCCAAATTCACAGGAATCAAAATGAGTACTTGCGGGTAAACACAGTGTACTGATGTCATAACTACAGGAAGCACGGAATTCATCTCCCCAATTGCGGCCCTTTATTTGCCATTGAAAAGGGTATCGTGATCGTTTGGCTCTCCCAATCATTGATCAAGCGTTGGATGCTAAGGAGGTTTTCACGCAGGAGCATGGGAGCATGGAAGAGTATCCAAATCCCTACAGACATACTGATAACGTCATTGCACAATGCGAGGAGGCTGATGATCTGGGGAAAAGCGACATCATTCGCACAAATTTTTTGGATAATTTGATACTATGTTCCGAGGCTTAGTGCTGACCACCAATCAATGAGAAATCCCAAAGCCCACGATAAACCGGCACACAATCTTTTCTTTCCCTGAAGATACATAGCCTTAACACGCCGCACAGCGATAGGGCGAAGGGAAGTTTTGGTTTCGATCCAGGGCAACATTCTCACATGACGAAAATCAGTGACACCAGCTAACAACGAACTAAAATGAAGTAACTAATTCTTTTCATCGACGAAGGCACGTCAATCAACCATTCTCACGGTGATCATTCAATTCGCCAACACACTGCCCTTCGCTGTGACACTTTCAAACTGACAAAGTATCCGCCATCCCGAGGATACCCTGCCAATGAGAACAGATTTTGACCACGTTAGCTATATGCTTCGTATACCCCCACAATCCAAATTTATCTGACAGCAACACAAGTCTAAAGTTTTGTGATTCTATCGCGCATGTGTCAGTTCTTTTGTCCGTATCTCTGTGGGGAGGGCCAACGCGAACGAAGGTAGCGCTGGGCGAAAGGATTTATTCCCCCAACCAGCAAGCGCCGAATTCAGTTATAACACCAATCCCTTCACCTATCATATAAGCCTCATCTCAGGTATATTGTTGTCCGAGCTGGTGACAGACGAAACTATACATCTGAGATGGCTCTCCTTCCCTTGCTCTGAAAAAAATACTCGACCACAAAATGCCATCAGAGGCAGTTTCGGATAGTCGATCAAAATGCCGGCAAAAGTCGGGAACTTAGGGAGAGTGTGTACAGACTAGCGTTCAACTGAACATAAGAACTAACGTAGTTAAACTCCGACTAAACTTGGAGAGATTTTTGAAAGTTACTTCAACCGCGCACACCAGTCTGCTCAGCTGCATCCACTCCTTAAGGAGAAATGCTCACTGTGGTGCATTAGCACCATCGCGCTACTGCGGAGGTTCTATGATTTCCATGCAATAATGAAACACTGCCCACAAAGCCGGCAACCACTCGTCGTTTTTGAGCCGTGGAAGGGAAACTTGACCCCACACTAGAAAAGAAGGTTGACTAGCGAGGCGACCCTCCGGTCAATCTCATCTCAGCGCCAGTTAATGGAGAAGCGGGGGAATATCGGACAAAACAATGCGGACAATCGAAAATCAACGGTAAAAGTTTGGAAGAGAGGAAAGGTCGTTGTCATCTCATTGAGAAATTCCGAAATCCCTGAAACCTGTCCCGGGAACAAGGCGGTTCAAAAGCGGCTCAAACTCAGACATGTAGATTTCCAAGCATTGCATTCATTAAAGCTGGCATCTTATGCCCTCCAAACCGCACAACATCCGAAATTCCATTCCCATCTTCATGGCACAAAAAAGGAAAAAAGAAAAAAAAAACAATTCATCTGCACTACGTATATCGCGCTGGTGGGGCGGAACGATGAGCATGGTTCATTATCTCTCATAAAAATCTGGTCAAGGTCAAAAAACTTCACGATGTCAGCAGGGTAACAGCGAGGCGGGCGTTCCGGGAAAAGCGTAAAGGGCTCTCTAAATCCAGTTACTTGTTCTTAGCGAGGGAGTTATCAGGGATTGGCCCCCTCCATGATCTCTCCGATCAGTTTAGAGAATGGCTGTTTTTAACTACATGCATAAAATCGGGCGCATCAACCATGCACATGCAGAAATGTTCTGAGGCTTCTTTTTTTTTCTTTTATATACACATACGCAGTATATCCATGGATTGTTGATTTTCCTTCCACGTGAGACCAAAAAAAGGATCAAGTGCCAGGGTTTTAGTTCTATTATCGACCCTTCCTTTTTATCACCATTCCCCCGTCGCAGTTAAAGTTGACGTAGTGATCAAGTGAGAGAACAGGAGAAGTCGGTTGACCAGGAGTTGATGAGGGATAACATCATTCTATTCTTGAAAGCCAAAATTCCATTCCTGGGATGAGAAAGTTTAACTGAGTTAAACTATTCCCGTCACTTGACGTATTGGTTTCCTGGATATTGATGCCAAAGGCATTGCCAATATCCCTGAAAGATGGGATGGGGACTTCCTGGACATTGGATTTACTGAGACAATGTGCTATAGTTATCCAAACCATATCCAAAAACGAAATTCCACCCGGGCTATATTTTCGTGAGTGGCGGCTCTGTCTGTGAATTGGTCAAGAGGAATTTTCCTTCATTAAACTGCCTTAAAATTTGGGGAAAAAGTGAGTTCGGTTTTAAGGGCGATTGGTTGGTGTCTTGTCCGGGGAGCTTCCGGGTGGATGAAAACCCATCCGCATTGGTCCGGGAAGGCTACTGACAGTTGGAATAAACAAAATCAAAAAGGATATATGTAAGGAGAAACAAAGCTCAATAATGTGCGAGACATGGAGCATACTTGAAATGTTAAATAAAATGCGGATAAGCGGTAGCATCCACACAAGAATTGAAGAAGTAGAAGGTAGGTGTGGCGGTTAAATTCCAAGCTCTCGCGGATTCTTGTGGTGTGGTGCTCAACCAAAGGAACTCTGTTCAATGGCAACTACTATCATCCACTTGTTGCCCCGACCTGCTTCCTTAATAATTTTTGTTCCGTACAGAGGCGTGGAATAAGAGTCCTTAAGCAAGCTACACACGGTTGATGTGAGTTTAAGGCGGCCTGCTTCGGCGTCAAGGCCAAATAATAACCCCATAAATTCCGTTGTGGAGATCGGAAGATCATTCGAGGTCTGGTATTGAGAGATTGAGATTTGCTTTTTGTCCCCACGCCTCCGCATTTTCCCCCAGAAATAAGCACGGATTACATCAAGGCATGCAGCAGTTACATACTCGAATACCCAAGGCCAGTCAGTTTTGGACCTCCCAAGTCTACAGAGTAAAGTTCACCGAGTTCTAATTATGGGTGTGCACGAGCCCGCGCTAACTTCGGCCCCACGGGCCGCAACGATAAGAGTCATACATGGTTAACCTCACCAGGTTTATGAGATAAGATAATCAAGTGATTGGAATCGTATGTGCGCATGGGAAAGCAAAACAAACGAAAAGCAAAAGATAGGGGCGAAGGAATCAACAGGGATGGGCTGATGATGGAGTTTTTCCATAATCATACTATACTCTCTTTCGTTTTCTTATTGGATTTTGTTTTTTCTCATGTCGTCGTAAAAGTACTCTGTAAGAGAAGGCGGAATGCCCTTTAAGCAGAAACTCCTCGATTGACCAAAAGCCACTGAACTTTGAAAATGGGTTGTTCACACTGACCGAGAATTGCGTCAACTAATTGGTTAGCGCGCCGCGGTAACCGCAGATTTAGCCAGCTCGTCGCTCGCATTCTTAATCCAAGCAGGACGGAAAGAGCACTAACTTCTGGAGTTCTTTTTCCTTCCAGTCGATTCCCCAGGGTTGTGCATGGACATGTAACTCCGTACTGTACTGTGCATACATGCAGATGGCAGGAGAGGCTGGAGGACGTCTCAAGAACCTCGCTGCGATGCAGCCACACAGGAATGAGCGGAAGTGCGAAGAAACTTCCCTGGTGCTGCAAGCCATCAAGGGCGTTGCTCCGTAGTTGGATAGAGGAGCCAATCGGTTGGCTGATCGGGGTCAGGCTTGTTGCGATAAGGTGGGTGGTTGGAGTGCCCATATGACGGGTATTTCCCACTACTCGGACTAAAACTAGTGGACGACTACTGTGAGGAACCGCGCGGTCACGGGGCGATGGCGTATGTGGCTTGAGGGAAGCAGCTAGGAAACTAGTTGAACTTTTTTTTTTTTTTTTTTTGCTTTTTTCTTTTTTCTGAACCTGGCAGATGATAAGACCTGGATAGTAGGAAATAATCTTCCTGCACTATCCACTATGCTTGGATGCGGTCCCGTTTGGAGTTATGTCCAATACAAATTGGTATTTGAATTTGTATCTTGGTATGGGAGAGAGAGGGGATGTCCAAGCAAGAGATAAAAGTATCGGGACAATTCCCTATGTAGCCTTTGACATCTTACTCAAGAGTCAAATGAGTATGATTGCCAGAAACTAGTGGACCAAGTAGATGCCATCGGTCTTGGCCTTGGGAAGCTTTTATTTGGATCTTGAATTTTTAGGATTCCCCCGTTGAGTGACTGGCTTCAGACATGGTGGAAATGACAATAGTAGCGCCTGAGTACATCTGTCGGCACCGCCAGATTAACTCTCTGATCTGAGTCCTTGGCTGCTAAGTCGTTTGCGAAGGGAGATATGAGGAGACTGGCCAATGATCAACTAGGAACACAATAGTTATATTTTAACGAAGATGCAACCGAGCGGGCTCAAAAATAGCACCCATTTGAAGCGATTTCGGACAGGGTTTAACTCACTACTGCTTAGTTTACGCACTGGTCATTCGATTTAGCCCATGTCAGCGTTGAGGGTAGATCATGCATCTTCGCAGACCCGTTAGGGGGGGATTGTGAAGGCGGGGGTTGGTGGGGAGTTGCACCTGGGCGGTTTAATGAATGGCTGTGAAATAACAGCAAATGAAGAACCGCACCTCTGTGCTGAACAATAGCGGTGAAGAGAAATGAAGGAAAAAGAGCTTCTTGGAATGTTCTGATGATTTGACAGGCAGCGTTTTGGTTGGGATAAGTGCGCCATTGGGGTTGCCGAAAAAAAATGGACCATAACTAATCGGTCCGCATATGCAGATATATGTATTCAAGGGCCAGAAATTGAGATTCGAATCATAATTAGGCAGGAGGGATTCTGCACCTAACGTTGAGGATGGACGATACTCTATGCTCACTAAGAGGATCGACCAGCCTTCCCCTTTGGTGGGCTGTAACTAACCAAGTGTCGAGTTAATTCAGTCCAAGCGCCGTAGATTATGGGCTGTTTGAAGCGTTGGATTCTTGCTGGCGGAGAATTCAGCGTTTGCTGTGTATCACGCTGCTGGTGTCAGCACCCACCGGAACAAAGTTGAAGGCAGAGGACGACATGCGTTTCTTTTCTTTATGAATGTGATATTTCCTTACTCTCACTGATATCATCCCTATGTTAAGCCTTTAGCGAGCATACCGTGATTGTTAAACAACGAATGGCATTCGAGGAACAGTATTTCGCCACCCTTCCATCATCACGGCATAAAAAGCAGCCTTGTGACACCCCAATAAGGAGGTGCACAGGGATGGTCTTGTGTGGGTGGGTTTCTGTTGGATGTGCGAATGGAGCTGAAAAATGCAGGACTAAGATCGATAATATTGGTGCATACGCAGTGTAGATGTGGTTGAAGACGCAAAACTAACAGATAACTGATAGGAAATGGGCTTTGTGCTGTTATGCTGGATCTTTCTTCTCAAGAGCTTGTACCTAGATGGGTTTACAGTTTCATCTAACTGGGTGTCCGGAAACATTTTGTAAATATTGCTCCGCTAAGTCCTTTTCTTTACCCAAGACTTTACGATGGGCCTGAGGCGTCTGTGACCAGAGGATGAAAGATGCATCTTTGATGGTTTAAGCGGGGAGGAATCCAGCCGCCCCATGAGCGTCATGGCCCCCATCGGGAGCGGATTGAATTGGAAAGGTATGCACTTCCGTCCCGTGTCATCGGGTAGGGGTTTGTTTTTGTTTTTGTTTTTGTGTTTTCTTTTAAGGTCAGTGGGTTGATAGGATTCTTGTGTCTCTCTACCAGCCGCCTTAATGGCTTCGGGAAAATATTTACCATGGTTAAGCGAAATCAACTTGACTCCACAGGAACCAAACGAACTCGGGCCGGGATGGATGCGAAAAACAAATTTAAAAAGACAAGCAAAGGAAACCATGGGTGACAATCGAGCGAACTATGGCTCGAATAATTAATTAATTGTGGGGTGTGGATTTTCTCCATTTATCCTGATCGTGTGAAAACCGACGATTCATCATTAGGGAGAATCAAACCATTTTTTATCCACTTCGACTCCGATGTCGACGTCGACTGCAACTTCGACTACTGTTTACTAACTTCTCCCGGAAGTGTTGCGCAAGGAATGCGCGGGAAAGATCTCGTTTCAACTTCGCAAGTTGTGGAACCGCGCCAACTCAAAATCCGTCAAAAACGGCAGGATGCATGGATACTGACTGGCCCATCTGTTCTAACTACCAGTTCGTTTTATCACACAGGACCGGCTCCGCCATATTTCTTTTCATCTTGATCTGGAGCCGGGGCGGTTCTCCAGAGCAAGCTTCAAACAACGGTTCGCTATGTTATTTCATGTTTAAGCCAAATGGAGATCTAAATATCAACAAAGGTAACTAGGGAAAAATGTTTATGGTGCCGAGTTGATGATGATAAACAAAAAAAAAAGACAGTCCCTGGTCCGTGGTAGTCTGGCAAAGCCCCGAAGTAACTAAACGTCGTGTGACTAGAGTCATCTGTAAACAATGTCCGTGTCAGAGGGAAATCATAATAAACAAAACTCTTTTACCCGGAGGACAAAGAGCCATCACTTTCGACCGCTCTCTGCGCAATTTAACAGCGATATCTCGCAATTTGATGATATGATTACATCGATGACGACGAGAGCTAGAAGAAGAATAAATCGAAAAGATCGACACACAGATTTCCCATGAGCCAGGTGATTGAACACGCAAGGTAGATATCGTCATCGGCAGGCCATGTGGGAATGGGTGGCAGGGTACAAGATGTCAGGGTAGAACTGCTGCCACTGGGCGTTATCTTGATAAGGATCGATCATTTGCATCGTGAACTCCCATTGTATCTCCAGTGGGTTAGCCGCGTGAATGAAGGTAATTGTCCTATGCTTTGAACTGTTCATCCATGATGGGCAATGTTCGCTTCCGCCGGGAGGCTAACGGTTGAGGACGTCTTATCTCGCCACAACAAGCCCAGGTCCCATGGACACTGGACAGACCGGCCAAACTCTCCCCACCAACCTCATTGCTTTGGTGATCGTTTGGTTCCTAGCTCAGATAGGAGTCAAACCAGCCGAAAATTGTTCACTCAGGAGTCACTGCTAGGATAGCAATCCGCACGTAGTACAGAGTACTCCGTAGAATGGCAGGAGTTCATGTCGTAGAAACTGTACTGATAAGGGACGGAGTAGTGAGCAAGCTAAGGCCAGCGGCGGTTGACACTTGAGGACGCTGATATGCCAGAGGTCCACTCGAGCAGGCCGCACTACGCTATAAGTTAGGAGCTTGCAGCAGCTAGTGTCAAGGGGGGCAGGGCCTCTGGCGCTATCCTGCCCGTATGCAGCCTGTTGCATCCACAAATCCCTCGTCCCATGCACGGTGCAGGCTTCCCCTTTGGCTGGCTGCTTGCTCGCGGCGTTCCCCAATCAGAACTGTGGAGCGCGAGCATCAGCACTCACAGCCCACGACGCCGTGACGAGTGACGGATCACTCCTTCAGCCGTAGCTCAGTATCCCGCACCTCTTTATCTTTCCCGCCTCGTCCCCTTTCCTCTGCTTCGTCTCTCCTTTCTCTTCTCTTCCTGTTGTTCTCTTTTTCTTACCCTGGGTCCCTGTGAACAGAGGACCGGTCGGTTGGAGGAATCATCCTGGGACCATCATCTCTTCCCTCTCTCCATCCTCCCCCTCCAGGGTTGACTCCCGAGTTGAGTCAACCAACCTAATTCCTTCCATTCTCTGGCCTTCTCTTCTCTCCCCCGTTTGCCCACGGTCCAGCATCGTGCTTGGATTGATTATATTTGTATTGTACTTGTGAAATTCCATCTTCTCTAGCCAGAGACGGGCGTCCGTTTCCACCATTCCTCCTGAATTTCTTCTGCCTTGTTTTTTGTTTTTGTTTTGCTGAACCTTTTTCCTTTGGGACTGTCCCGGTGACCAAACCCAAAAACACCCCGCCCAGTTTCTCCCTGTGCACATGAACTCAAAAGAGGTGACCTTTTGACCAGTGCCCCACGGCCTTTGCCATAATCTTCCTGTGTAGTCAATTTGGTTCTTCAATTTGGTTCTTCACTTCCTCGTTTCTCAACGCGTTCCCTGAAACCCGGCCCTCGAGTTTCCTGTTTGTTTAACCCCCTGGCGGTTCAGTCACCAAAAAGTCATCAAAAGCCTCTGTTGTGTGCGTGTAAGTGTGTAAGCATTGGAGAGCGCCAACTGGTCCCAAGATCATCAAGATATTTGGTGTTGGTGGCAGCTGTCTGCTCGCATTGCATTTCCTGGCTGCAACAACACGGCCACACCCCCTCTGCTTAGATTTGTTCAAAATGTCCTCTCACCCACACATACCCTCGTTCGGTCAGTGAGCAATTCCCTTTTATCTCCTTCGGACACTGTTCCCAGAACTCCTTGGGCAGTGACCTCGTCATTATGGAGAAACTAAACACTGAAGATGGCCAGCTCTTCATTAAGGTAAGCGCCCTGTTTCCTGCAATCCCCCTTCGGGGCTCATTCCTTCGTCGAGGACTTATGTTTACATGTTAACTGATTGAATGTGTTTATAGAATCTGGCCAGCTTTGTCCGTACTCATGAAAAGGCCCTCGCCAATGCCTTGCAAATGAAGCGTCAATCTTCCAAGACATCCGACTCTTCCACTCGTTCCGCCACCTCTTCCACTCTGGCTGCTGCGTTTTCCTTAGGCACTCTGAGTTTCACATCCCACAACATTAAGCCTGCAAAACTCACGCTGACTGGCCACCATCTTTTCTATCTATTATCCCGGTTTGAGGATATTTCTATTCCCGTTGGTCCTATGAACATTCGCTTGGAAAACATCAATACAGAGGCTTCGTCCGCATATGTGTCTTTCTTGAGCAAGCCACGTCGCTCCGCTGGAGACAGAGACTCTATCCATTCGGTATCCAGTGTGCGTAGTGTCATGTCCAGTATGAGCTCGCTCTGGTCCTCATTTGGCCTCGGATCTAAAGACCCCGTCTCCAAATCGGAAAAGGCCAAACTCGCCATTGAGAATGACCTGAAATATTTGTATTCTGCGTTCACTAAAATCCCGTTTTTGAGGCTTGCCCCGGACCACAGAGCTCGTCTCATTCATGGATACGAGGAGTTCCCCTTTGACACTGCTGTCCCACTCTATTCGTTTAAAAACCTCAGTGCTCTGGAGATTATCGATGTAGATTTCCGCTCCTTTTGTGGTTGGGATCGCTTAGCTGAACAGTTAAGATCCCTTACTCTCAAGCGTGCCAGTATTGATGATCCTGCGGACCTCTTGACCGGGATCGTTTTGGATGACCTTGACAAGCGGAGACGGAGATCCTCTAAATATCAATCATCCCCAGTTCTTACTTCTCCTAACGGGCAGACATCCAATAAATCGGAGCTGGCAAAATCCATTTCAACACCCGGGTCGCCAGTGGCGGATCTAAGCTCCAGTCCAAGCTCCAGCCCAAAGGCCAGCACCTCAATGACCAGGGGGTTCGCTGAAGGCGGGAGAAGACTTGGCCGGACAGAAAGCATTTCGCCCACGCGACCCAATAGTTCAAAACAGCAGTCTCGTCGCAGAGGAACAACTTCCAAAGTAAAGAGATCTGGATCTGGGAGTTCCAATTCTAGTGACGCCTCATCCCACTACAGGACTAGAAGCATGTCGAATTTATTGGCTGCTGGCATTCTTCCCCCATCCAAATGGCGATTCCTCCGCCACCTTAGCTTGACAGACAACTCGATGACAAGTGTCAGCGCTGCCAGTCTTGCTCCTGTTGCTAATACTCTCCAATCGTTGGATTTGTCCTGGAATCTTTTCACCGAGATCCCAGATAGCCTTGCATCCTTGACAGCTATGAGGTCTTTAAACCTATCTCACTGTATGATAGACTCTCTCCATTCTCTTTCTAGGAACCCGCTCCCTGCCATCACTGCGCTTAATCTCAGAGGAAACCGTCTCCGATCCCTCGCAGGCATCGAACGATTATTGTCTTTGGAGCGCCTTGATTTGCGAGACAACGAACTCAGTGATCCTACTGAAATTGCCAGATTAACTGGCATACCATATCTACGTGAGATTTGGGTCTCTGGGAACCCCTTCACCAAAACATTTTCTGAATACAGGGTTTCCATATTCAATCTATTCAGACAAACGCCAGGATTCTCTGAGGACATTATCATTGATACCACCGGCCCCGGATATACAGAACGGAAACAACTTGTCGCTCGTGTTGCAGAACCAGAAGGAGCCCCCGTTGTTCGACACTCTGGACCAGGCGACGATCCTGCGGATGAGACCCAAGATATTCCGCTTGCCACATCGTCAGCAACTGCGATTCGTGCAGGTGCATCAGGGTCCGTCGCTGCAGCTCACGCGGAACATGCAATAAGCTCTACCAGGCGGAAAAAAAGTTACAGACGAAAAATCGTCGAGCTTTCCGACGATAATCCTTTTCATATGGCGGCCGATGGCGCTAAAGCCGTTGATACTATTTTCCCACAACCTATTCCCGAACACCCTGTTACAAACCCCGCAGCTACGACTGAACAACTTAAAAGTCCATACAAGATATCGGCCAAAATCCCCAATGCCAAACAACCTCAGAGAACCACAATCACTACTTTTACCACTCCCAAAGAATCGCAATGCAATCCTATCTTTGAGTCCACAAAGAGTCCCAATTTACTGCCTGCTATTCAAAGTCTTGACTGGAGCGCCAACGGGGACTCGTATCGTCAACGACTCGAAGCATTGAAACACGAAGTTGGAACCAACTGGTTGACAGTGCTAGGCGATGAATCATGGGACACTTCACAAAAGGACATCAGTTCTCATACAGTTGTTGGTTCGGAATACAGCCCGGTTGGGCCACTTCGGCCCTCGCTCATCGCCAGGACTAGTAGCCAGGCCATCGCCACTGGAGGTCGAACGGTAGGCTAAATATCAAACGAATCGACCCTTTTCTTTCACCCGGTCAGACATCCCCCTCTCTCCACCTCTCGTCCCCCAGAAGAACGGCAATATCAAACCCGAAAAACAAAAATATACCATCTTGCAAAAATGAGATATAAGAATGGAGATGTATAGACTGTATTTTCAAATCGCGACGAAATAAATGGCAAAAACCCCAGCGGACCGATTTTTTGTCACTGCCCAACCCTGTCTCCTTCCTAAAACAAAACGTCCGCGTGCCATAAAAAAAGAAGTCGAGAAACAGAAGGAGGAGGAGGAAAATGTCGTTTTGGAGCGGGAATTTGCCATTTCATTAACCAAAATCTTCGTTTTCTCACTTTTGATTTTTTTTTTTTCCTTTTCCTTTCCTTTCTTTTTCCTTCTACAACGCAGCTTTGTGGTTTTCTCGAATGGGATATTTGTCTGCATGTTCATTTTCTTTTCTCTTTTTTTTCTTTTTATGCATGAAATATACCACTGTTGTTTCTTGCCTGTATGATCTTGATTTTGCTTTCTTGCCTTGCATGTGAATGGCGCTATGTGATATTTGGATGGGATCTTGTTTCTTCATTTACCTTTCTCCAACAACCCGAGATTTCAGGCCTTTTCCCGGGAAGTTTCCTATTAAGAGGTTTGTCCTCTTTTTAGTCTTTTAGACCGCTTTTGGACTGTACTTTTACGGACTGGAGAGGCGGTTTGTTGCTGTCTTGTGTTTTTTTTTTTTTTTTTTTGTATTTTTTGTATTTTTTTTTTCATTATTATTTATATTCTTTTTGGCCTTTTCGAATTTTTCTTCAAGGTTACTCAGGCGTTTCACATGGTAAACCGTTCTATTCATTTTCTATTTTAGCTATTTTCTTTCTTCGTGGCAACCTTTTTGGTTCTGGGAACAGAAAGCGTTAATGAGGTTGTATAATTTTTTTCCATTTCCATTTCTTTTTCGTGTGTGTGCTGGAGGTGGTTAATTTATCTAACAGACTTGGTTGACGGCTATAAAATATGTTATTTACCTTCCTTTTGCATATGCACTTATCGGATCTTCCTCTCTTTTTATTAATGTTTTCGTGCTGTCGTCGTTTGTTGCGCTTCCTATTCTGTGGAGCATATAGGGCTGGCGTAATAAGCTACTTAGTTTAGCTGAGAGAGCCCTATCCTTACCCCTAATGCCATGGCCCGTTTGGGATGTCTAGCTAATGTACACACGTACATAGGCTCGAATGTCGTTGGCCCTCCTCCTATAAACGTCCAGTCGAAGTCTTCCTATACGCACCCCGAGGGAATTTTGGCAGGCTCTTTTCGGTGTATCATTCTTTACATTCCTTATGCATTGGTGCATATAGAGCACCACGGCGTGAGGATTTAGCCAGGGCCTCTATCCTCTGGGTGTGTCAGGTACCTGGGTTTGGCTAGGCGTGGAGGCGCAATATGTATGACATGACGATTCATTTTTATTGCGAGATGGGGTTTTTTTCTCCCCAGTTGATGTTAATGAACAGTCAAAGTACAGCGCCTATTCACTCTCTATTCAACGTTGAAGTGATGTCAAAACATAGTCGTATTTTGTATGAGACTTTAGCTGCGTGCTGGGGTATAGGTTTCGTATATGAAAAAGGGCCCTGGCTGCCCAATAACAAGCAGACGGTGTGGTCGAGTGGTAAGACGTCGCGTTGTGGCCGCGCCAGCCTGGGTTCGATTCCCAGCACCGTCATTCACCCTTTTTGGGTTGGTATTTTTTTTTTCTTTGGCTTTTGGTTTTACTTTAACTGCGACTTGCTTCATTTTATGAAAAATTCCTTCTGATAATAAACGTAAAAGGGTATTTGACCTTTTGGTTATATGCGATTCCCGAAGCAGCGACAGTAAGATGCGGTATGTATCAGTCAGCACTTGCTGTTGAATTCTTACATCTAATACCAACACATAAATATAGCATTAGCAGCAAGAAGTGTGAAGAGGGCGTAATGACAATCTATCTATAATAAGTTTATTTATACAGAATATAGCTAGTAGCTACCAGATAATAATTTCTGTGGATATTCATCTTCTTCTGCTACATGGGTTGTGCACAATCTAGCAGAGAGAAAGATAATAGTATTGTTGTGTACTGATGCATACTGTACCGTATGTAATGGGCGCGTATCTGTTCCCGTTCCTCAAACGCTTACCAACTTTCAGCCCAGTCAAAACTCGTTTCAACTCTCCACCTCCAGTCCATCACCTCTCTTGATAACCATCTCCTGGCCTCAACCACCACCAGTGTCCCTCGACCGGTATTTTTTGCTGTTGAATACCTACTCCATTATCGCTTTGCTACTATCAAAGACTTAGACTTCCTTTGGACTGCTTTCCATTAGCCAGAACAGACTGCTCTGCATCATAACTATTGCCTTCCTAACAATCGCACCACCGCCACCATTATCCATCACGCTCGCGCGGAAAAAATAAAAACTTCAACATCCAGCTAGACTACGCTATAGATAGGCTTTTACCCATCTACTACAACCAAATTTTCGTTCATCGCAGGACGCGGGAATCGGCCGAGCCGCGCTTGTTACCATCTTGTCTGGGATATTGGCGTGGGTAAAACCCAGAATAGAGCCTCATCCGTTGATCTGACGCACCAAAGCTCGCCCTCAAACTCCATCTCTATCAACTCCCCTTCGACTGCAGTCCGTACCACATCTCCCACCACCGCAGGACAAATATCCAGGACGTTAGCCAGCATCCGTGAGAGGAGTCTGGATTGGAGGCACGTTGGCTCAGTCCTCCACGGTCCTTTTTACCCCTTCGTGTCATATTAGGTTTTCGACTTCGTAAGCTGCTCGCCCTATTCCATACCAACATCGCCCATAAACCCCGAAAGTCCCCAGCACG